AGGCAAACCAGATATGTCCTAATAAAAAAAATTTGGAACACTTAAAACACTAAAAAACAGTTGTAGACTACTTAAATGAAATCTAAAATTATTTTGAAAAGCGTCAGTTCTTATACAGTCAACAAAGTGAATGTTTTTTTTATGGTTCCAAATTCGAATATAATTTTTTTTTTTTTGTTGTTGTTAGATTGGCATAACTGTTTTCCATTTTGGCGCGGAATTTGAGTTGCATCCGTTATTTATATTAAAAACAGTGCTGTTTTTAGTTTTATAATATCTAGTGTGTATTGCGAATTTCATAATGGACAAAAACATCGAACAAAGAGTTTGTCTTAAATTTTGCATCGCCAATGAAATTTCGTGTTCGGAGGCACTCAAAATGTTACAGAAGGCTTACGGTGAATCGACTTTATCAAAAACACGTGCTTATGAGTGGTACAAAGCGTTCAAAAGCGGTCGAGATGTGATGGAAGATTTGCCTCGTTCTGGTAGGCCATCAACGTCTGCAACTGAAGTTAACATCGCAAAAGTGAAGGAAATAGTGACTGAAAATCCTCATTCAAGGTTGAGAGAGATGGCCGCCGAACTTTCTGTATCTCACGAGTCGATCCGTACCATTTTAACAAATAATTTGGGTATGAAACGTGTTGCCGCTCGGCTAGTCCCAAAGGACCTGAATTTTCTTCAAAAACTAAATCGCATGAAAGTCGCTGAGGACATGCTAGAACGAGTCAATACCGACCCAACATTCATGAAACGCATTGTTACTGGTGACGAGACGTGGGTTTACGATTTTACATGCAAACTAGTCAACAAGCTTCGGAATGGCGCCTTCCAACTGAACCAAAACCGAAAAAACCACGTCAAAGTCGATCAAAAGTCAAAGTCATGTTGACTGCTTTCTTTGACTATCGCGGTGTTGTGCACTCAGAATTCTTGCCCGAAGGTCAAACGGTAAATAAAGATAATTATTTGAGCGTTATGCGGCGTTTAAGAGAACAAATTCGACGAAGAAGGCCAGAAATGTGGAAAGAAAATTCTTGGATTTTGCATCACGATAATGCGCCTTCGCACAAGGCCATCATTGTAAACGATTTTTTGTCCAAACACTCAACAAACACCATCGAGCAGCCACCATATTCACCAGATATGGCTCCAGCCGACTTCTTTCTTTTTCCCACACTCAAATTACCCCTTCGTGGCACCCGTTTTCAATCGTTAGAAGACATAAAGGAGAATTCGCGGCGAGCACTGAACTCAATTCCGGAAACAGCGTTTAAAAAAAGTTTCGATGATTGGATTATTCGTTGGCGTAAGTGTATCGTTTCTGAAGGAGCATACTTTGAAGGTGATAAAATAAATTTAGATGAATAACAAACATTTTGTGTATTATTGACTTTTTCCCGGTACTTTCTTGACAGAGTAGTATACATTTTCTGTACAAAGCTACAGCGTTTTAGGAGTAATTTGTTTTGTAAGAAACGTTATATCTGGCTGGTTTGCTAATTAAGGTATCGTCATATTAGTTTTGCGTCGAATAACATACTTTTCTCTTGAAAATTTTACTTACATAATATATGTACACTACCGGCCAAAAGTTTGAGACCAACTTAATCAAAGTAGGAAAATGCGGGGAAAATGGAATAAATCGATAAATACAAGTAATCAAATGGTTTAATATACTAATTAGATAGTACTTAAATACAATTACGCTAGAATATATAAAAATTTTGACTTTAATGTTAAAAATGGAGTTTATTATTTAAACAGATTTTTCATCAAAAAATCCACCTTTACATTTTATGACTTTTTTTACAAGTCTCGGCATCCGAGCTATTAATTTATTGATTGTTTCTTGTGAAATATTCTTCCAACTCTCTTGAAGTATCCGCCAAAGGTCTTCTTGAGAAGACGGACACCCGTCACGCACCTTTCTGTCCAGCTCTTCCCATAAAAGCTCTATGGGGTTTAAATCTGGACTTTGAGGCGGCCAGATCATGTTTTTTAATACACCATCTGTTTCTTTTCGTTCCAAATATCCCCTACATAACTTTGAGCTATGTTTGGGATCATTATCTTGTTGGAAAATAAATCCATTTCCAATAATCCTTAACCCTGACGGAACAGCATTTTTTTCTAGAATTAATTTATACTGCTCTTTTTTCATGATTCCTTGGATTCGCACCAAATCTCCTGTTCCATGGCCCGAGAAACATCCCCAAACCATAATAGAACCACCACCATGCTTCATTGTTGGCACTACACAGTCTGGCAACATTTTTTCGTCAGCTCGTGCGTCGCACAAAAACTCTTCTTTTTGTACCAAATACTTCAAATTTGGATTCATCAGTCCAAAGAACTTTTTTAAAATCTTCTTCAGTCCAATCCTGATGGTTAAGGGCCCACTGCATCCGTTTCTTTTTATTTTGCGGTTTTAACAGGGGTTTTCGAGCGGCAACGCGGCCAAACAAGTTAGCGTCTCTTAATCTTCTTTTCACAGTAGTTAATGACACAGGTTTAGATCGGGATTTGTTCAGTTCAGCACGGATTTCTGGTGCCGTCAGCCGTCTATTCCGCTTGCTTGTGACAACGATGAAATGATCCTCGCTAGAAGTAGTAGCTCGCGGCCTTCCCGAACGTGGACGATCTTGATTACTGTTAGTCTCCTTGTATCGAATAATTGCATTGTGAACACAAGTCTTCGACAGCTTTAGTTGTGATGCTATCGCACGTTCAGATTTGCCTTCGTTATGCAAAACAACGATGGCAAAACGAATTTCACTATTGATTTCGGGTACTTTTCCCATTCTTAACACGTCTTTACACTACAAACTGTAAGTTCAGACTAAATCAAATATAGAAAGATAAATTCAAGAATAGTTGAGTAAAAAACATGTTAAATCATGTTAAGATATTTTGTAATAATGGTTAACGCAAAACAAAAGCATACTATTAAGTAAAGAGGAAGTAATAAAAATATTACAATAACTCTACCATTTGGTCCCTGCGCGGCACTCATTGATATTTTGAAACAATTATTCTTTTATAAAACGACAACTCAAATTAAACAAAAGAATGACGTTTATGACACTATCTGGCAACAATAGAATGCGCACGTGTGCAAATTGCTTTTTTATCACAAGTATTTTTTAAATAATTCAAACATTTTGAAGATTTTTACAAGTGGTCTTAAACTTTTGGCCGGCAGTGTATATGGCAAAATCAATCGAATAAAAGTACGATTATTTTATATGATGTCAAAACAAACAGTCTCATACAATACAAATAGAAATTGCTAGAAAAATCTCGATTTTGACAATTTTGAAATATATATTGAATTTGATTTATTATACAAATACCATATTATTAGTATTATTTAACAGTTTTACGTAGGTTACGAATATAAATATGGAAACACCGCGCACTACGCGACTAGCTGTCTTATATAAAAATATTTTAAACTACTTTGGCTGACGATTTCTATATAAATATTAATTTAATTTGAAACTTAAAATAAATTATAGAAAGGAACGTTTATTTGACTTAGGGCTGATTTTTCAATAGTCAGATTAATGTTACGTGGGGAATAATTATGATGCTGTCGCGTCAGAATGTTTGTATAAGAAAGTGACAGCAACAATTTTATTCCTCAGATAACATTTATCTAGCTACTGATAAATCAGCCCTGAACCGAATTAAATATTATAAAATTCAATCGATTATAAATGCTCAAACCCTGATCGAAAAACAAATTCAAAATTATTATGACAATTTAAATAAATTAGATTTTAAAATTATATTATTATTATTATGGCAAGACGAATAAAATTCAAAATGAGCTAAATATAATATTTTTTGTTTTAACTTAAGAATATACGTTGTGTTGGTAGAACTGTGACTTCTAAAATTAAAATCTTTCTATTCGAAAAAGACGAATATGAAAATTCAACTTTAACGGTGAAGAAATAAAGTTAAATTCACTATGACCGGTTACACACTGTATTTTTTTAAATATAAATATAGATAAAAAGTCACAGAGTTCTACATCTAATTGAAAAAAAAAGCAACAAAATATTATGCCGTATTTTTTGGTAACTTAATTTCTTAATAATAAAGTTTATTAATTATATTATTTTGTCTAATTTTCTAATATAATAATTTATAGTAAAAGCTCCCAAATATACATATAGATACACATCATGTCTACAATACCGCCAACGTATCTTGGCAAGTCTGAAGTTAGCCGATTAGCTGCGCAGTACACCATTTTGTTCCTAAAAGATCCATTGCGCAGACAAAAGGCTAACTTCAGACTCGCCAAGATACGTCGGCCGTACAGTACGATTAGACATTTTCTTCAGACTTCATACAAAAGCAGTCATTACGGAATGTTTTGGAAACAAAAGAGATTCTATTTAACCTGATATTTATAATTTTACACTGAATATAACAGTTTATAAACTTTTATTAGTTCGACCTGTAACCAACTAAGTAATCCTATTAATATTATCTACAAATGTGGAAGTTTTAAGGCATGTATGTTTGTTATCCTTTTACGCAAAAACTGCTCGACTGATTTATTCGAAATTTGGTATATAGATAGGTTATATCCTGAATGCACGAAACTACGTAGGCTGTTTTTTATCAACATACCACGCGGGGTAAGCCGCGGAAGAAGCTAGTACAATATACAGCCGAATTAAATGATCAATTTAATCTAATTCGCTCTACATTCTTTGTATAGACTAGTTGTTTAAATCCAAAGAATTCTGATAAGGAAAAATACTTCAATTTAGCTTACTTCGGCTTCCTTGAAGCATTTTCGATATTGGCCTTAATTTGAAAGGATTTTTATGTTTGAGATTGCACTGTAACGTAAATAAAAGGGATGTTGTTAAGAGTCACTATTAGGCGTGTTTTTGGTAAAAGTACAAGCGAAAACAGACATTATTGAATTGAAACACAAATGTGACTTTCAACCTTAACTCACTAACTTTACGGTCGACTATAAAAGGTTTAGCCTGTTATATTCAGTGTGTAAATAGCTAACGATTTTCGATATCTTTGGTATCGTTACCTCTAAGGATTTTGGGCATGACGCCGCTGCCGTATTTGATGCCATAAGGTCGTAAATGGTATATTAAGTAGTCGAGTACGTACATCAATTGTGGGCCCACGTAATGGAATGATACTGCGTGGTCGGAACAACAGTCTAGACCCTGGAAAAATATAAATAAAATTAAATATAGGTAAAATGGAAAATTGTTTATTAAGATCTGATGAATTGACTAAAAACATTATTAGGACAGTTTTATTAAGCGAACCTGAAAGATAACAAATATTCCAAAGATTATGGACCTCGAATATATCGTTTCAAATATTAAAACGACGTGTGGGATGCCATGCCATGCCATGCGAGCCATGCTTCGGCACGAATGTGTCGACTCGACCGGAGTTATACCACGGCCTCACAGAAAACCGGCGTAAAACAACGACAACGTTGTTTTTCGCCGCGTGAGTGAGGTTACCGGAGGCCCAATCCTTCCCCTACCCCAATCCCTCCCCAATCCCTGAATCCCCAAAATCCCAATCCCTAAAAGGTCGGCAAGGCACTCGTAACTCATTCTTTGTTGCGGGTGTCCATGGGGGAGCTGATTGCTTACCATCAGGTAATCCGTCTGCTCGTTTGCCGACCTATCACATAAAAAAAATAAAATAATTCATCATCCGCTGAAGAAATGCCTCTTCCCATGCTGAAATGGAATGAGCGTTGACCACCACATTTTCTCAAGTCGGATTGGCAATATCAAACTTACCTAAAATACATATAAATAATTCGGAAAGAGTACATTGGTACCAATAGGATTATCAAACCGGTTTTGATACACAGCGCAAGGAAATGAGAGCGTAATCATCACATGATTTTTCTCTAGGCAGTGTCAGATTTTTACTGACTAAAAACCATCCCACTCTTTATCCTGCTCCAGGTGGAGGCCGCAGTACCCTATTACATATATACTTTCTAAAATTATTTAGACACAGAAGAAAAATATCGTGAGGAAACTTGTCAATAACAAAAGTGATTAATAGTTATAACTTTTATTTTATTTTATTTTTAAATATTATTAAGACACTACTAAAATCAGTTTAGGAAAACCTGGACTTATAATTTTGCCAATTCGCATTGAGCAAGCGTGGTGAATGGTGATTAATGGTTATAACTTATCCGTGTGACAAGAGGCTTTTATTCAAGATTGTATTCTGTTCTTATAGGCTGGTGATTTATGATATGATGCTTACAAAGAAAGAAAGTATTGTCTTACCTCATCAGTAGGGTAGAAAATGTAGTTCCAGTACCAGAAGTCTTTGTCTCGGTTGGGGAAGAGATGGTCCTGTGGCACGAATGGGAAGAACCGACCGCGGTGTAACTCGTCACGCGAGTCCATCGCACGCACTCCTATCTTGTCGAGACATTTGCCTGGATGAAAATAGAGGATTCAAATTCAAATTCTTTATTAGCATTTCATATGTTAGCAGACAGTTGGTACATTTTAGGGATTAGCCTCAAAGATGGACCCAGTAGGCAGACAGGCAGGTAGACAGGTTAAAGAAATTATGCAGTAACATAATTTATAAATTATTATAAATGTTTTTAACAATAAAAGTTTACGTATATAAAACAATTTAGTATACCTATGTATATGTGTGTGTGTGTGTGTGATGAAGGATATTCTTCTATTTAAATTTATATCTGTTTGATATACTTATTAAAATACAAGATAATCTGAGCGGTTTCGCCCCGTGCTCGGATTCTATTGGTCGTAGAGTGATGTTTTAGCCAATAGTATTAATCCATTCATGGACTTTGCAACGCAAGAAGAATTGTACTAGTCATTCCGGAGATTAGGCCGTTCAAATAATATAAAAACTCTTTTGCTGTAAAAACATTTAAAAATTCTTCGTAAATTGTGTTGGTAAGGACTTAACAACGCCTGCACCAATTTTGGTAACGATTTGTTGTTTTTTATTGTCAATAATAGAATTATATGGGAAAAGCGCTGCTAGTTTCAAGTCACAACTGGGCTCCTTCCTATGCATGCAGCGAGTCGCGGCGACATCGCGACTTTAGTCCAGTTCTTGTCCAGTTAATTCACGTACTTAATACATTATTTTCAACTTAGGTAACTGATAACCACTAAATCAAATCTCCAATCAAGCAATATTAAAACTCACCCATCTCAGCATCCTCAGCGCCCTGATCTCCCGCGTTACAGAGCTGTGGCGTCGGCAGGGCTTTGTTCACGAACCTGTCCAACGCTTCTCTGCTTAGCACATACCCTGCGCCACCGCTCATGTAACCCTGTTGTATTATTATTAAATCATCAGATTGTTATAAACCAAAAACTAAATACATATATGGTACATATTCGTTTATAGTTTCTTAGGGAAAACATTGCTAATTCTGATTTCTGAAGCTAATTTTAATATGTAAATTGTTGCAACATGGGATGATATGACAACATGGATCATTTATAGATAAAAGGTACTACTTTTGAAAAACATATGTTTTGTATCAGTAAAATGGCTTTACGTTCTGAGGGGAGTGTTGGTAAATAAGAACGCAACCGATTTCTTGTGTAGTATAATGTGGCAACAATATTTTATGCACTGTTCTGTGGCAACACTAACGGTAGTTTTCCCATTGTTACCTACTTGTTTGTAAACGTTAGTGCATTTTTCTTAAAACATATATAAAATATTTTTACCTAATTATCAACAAGATACAATTCAGATAGACTACTTTTCAGGTGACGTTACCGGTATTTTGGATTCCCGAAACTTTGAGGAGTTAGAAGTGCGTAGACGGTCTTTTAAAGGAGGAATTTGAGGCTTGAGGTGGGGGCAGCATAGCGCCTCAGGATCCCTTTTTACACAAAATCAACCGCATTGGAAGCGTTTTGTGTCGGTTTTCTGTGAATCCGTGGTGTCACTCGACGACTTTTAAGTGCCACAATCTAGGAGAGACTATCTCTCCCACTTTCGGTCTTTCTAAACTATCTAAACTTTTGCAAAATAACATTACAAAGGCGGAATTAATGCCATATGCATTCTTACCAGTGAACTTTAGGGTGATGCAGTGAGAGCGTGGTAGGTGCAACACTCATTGTCAATATCTATTATACATAGTTTGACGCACATACCTGTGGAGAGAAATGCTTGAACCTGCATCCGAAGTATATTGGGTCTTTGCTATCGTAGTCTGCCAGCATATATCTCAAATTTTCCACTACCACGTACCTGGAAAAAGATAAAATATGTATAGATATTATTCAAATTAAGAAAGCAAAATTTTATTGCAACAGCTGTGCCTATTACTTTTAGGGCAGATTTTTCAATAGTCAGATAACTGTTATTAAAGGAATAAAATTGTTGCTGTCACTGTCTTACACAAACATTATGACGCGACAACATCATGATATTATTCCTCAGGTAACATTTATCTGACTATTGAAAAAAATCAGCCCTTGGAGATATAATTTGTTTTGATATCCTTTATCGAAGTTTGTTTTAAGATGACAGAGAAAATCTGCCAGATTTCAGACAAGGTTTTCTCTGTTAAGGGTGGGAACCCATACTTTAGATTTAGACCAATAAAAGGTCATAAATCTGTCGCTGGATCAAAAACAGCTAGCATTCATATCATCATCAGCCTATAAGTGCCCACTGCTGAGCAAAGGCCGCTTCTCACGAGGAGAAGGTTTGAGCATCAATCACCACGCTCGCTCCAGGCGGATTGGCGATTTAAAACTTATAATTAAAAATTATAAGTCCAGTTTTCCTCACGACGTTTTCCTTCACTTTAATATAATTAACTATCCTATCCATCATTTTTAAATGACAGAATGTAAAAGCATAGAACACACACTACAACACCTGTTCATTTAAGCCAACTAAATACATAAGGATAACTTGAAATAACAATAAATAATTACATATGTACATTACCGATAAACGTTTTGTGTGCTTACTAGTATTTTTCATTACTGTCCATGTTTACCTGTCTCCATGACCTTGCCTTCTGTGTTACATAGACAGATTCAAAACTATCAGCGACTGTCCTAATGATGGGCAAAGGCCTTAAGGCCCAGTAAGGCTGGTGATCACCCGGGTTTTTATGTGATAGGACGGCAAACGAGCAGACGGATTACCTGATGGTAAGTACCAAAACCAAAGATGTTACGAGAGCGGTGACTGCCTTTTGGGATAAGGGTTTCGGATATTTAAGGATGAGGGGAAATGGAGGGTTTGTGGTTGTTTTATCCCGGTTTTTTACTCCGGTCGAGGCGACCCATTCGTGCCGAATCTTGGTTCTCCCACAGACACTTGACTTGGAGAAGAAGCGAGGTGATCTTTATTCTTTAAGAGTTTGGCACTCCCTCTTGTCCCATTCAGGGCTGTTGCCTTCTGTCTAGTGACTCTAGTGTTACATAGCACTAGAGAGATTCAAAACAAACCGAATCGAATTTTACTATTGAGCAAAGTTCTCTTCTCACATGAAGAACGTCTTTTTTATGTAATAGATCGGCAAACGAGCAGACGGATTACCTGATGGTAAGTAATCAGCGCCGCCCATGGAGCCGCCGCCCGCAAGGTAGGTGTTAAGAGTGCGTTGCCGACATTTTAGGGATTAGGGATTTGGAGATTTAGGGATTGAGGAGGGATCGGGGGTGGGGAAGGATTGGGCCTCCGGTAATCTCACTCACACGGCGAAACACAACGCTGTGGTTGTTTCACGCCGGTTTTCTGTGAGGCCGTGGTGTCACTCCGTTCGAGCCGACCCATTCGTGCTGAAGCATGGCTCACCCACACTTAAACACGTCTTAAAACGTCTAAGCATTAGTCTTCACGCTTGCGTGTTCGCAAGGCGGATTATCGATTTAAAACTTAACAAAGACCAAAATTCCTCTCGATATTTTCTTCACCATAAGTCAGTGGTGTTTAAATGATTTCAGAGCAGATGAGTTTTATTTGGAATATAGACTTACGTTTACTTTTTAAGGTGTTTCCCGACGTCAATGTATCAATGCAAAGTTTAAAATAATTAACTAATTACTCAAGAAAATACCCAATTTGCGCGGACGCGTAGGCTGCGCGACGTCGCCGCGTCCGCGCACGCTGCTCATGAGGAAGAACCCCTCTGTGGTTCGAAACTAGTAGAGCTTTTCTCAATATACACACGTGAGTAACCCGCGATTTTTAGTTAAACTACTGGTCATGTTGTAATTGAACAATAACTATTGTTTACAGATAGGCAGTCACATTACTGCATCTATTGAGGTTTAAAATATCATGACACGAACTATAGGAGCCGAGCAGCGGGTGAACCCGAGCGGTATAACTATACTAAGAGCATGTAGGTACTATGTTCCTCTAATTATTCATTCTACGAATAAAATATGTGTTAATAGAGTATGATGTAATTGCTATAAAACGATTTAATCTTTATCAAATGAATGAAACGGAAATTATTACGCTATTCGTCGACAATGGACGGACGAATTGGCATATTTCATTATTAGTTCAACAATGTTTCGCGTTCATAATTTAAATAAGGGGTTTTGCACACGAAACAACTATCAACTTTAAAAAAACTATTTATTGAAAATAACGAGTACGGGCTGATTTTTTAAAAGTCAGGTAAATGTTATCTGTGGAATAAAATTTGTTGCTGTCACTGTCTAATACATTTTGCTGCGACAGCATCATAACCTATAAAACTTTCAACATTCAAAACCTATTTATTGGAAATAACGAGTAAGGGCTGTTTTTTTAATATTCAGGTAAATAATGTTATCTGAGGGATATAATTGTTGCTGTCACTGTCTAATACAAACATTCTGATGCGACAGCATTAAAATTATTCCCCAGATAACTTTTATATAACCATTAAAAAATTAGCCATCAACCATCAACTGAGAAAAGCACTACTAGTTTCGAATTGGCTGAATAAGAGTCCCGTTGTGACTTGAAACTAGTCGAGCTTTTCTCAGACGATACACGTGAGTAAATCGTTATCTATATACTAAAAATAAAAAAAACTACGTTTAAAAAAACCGACTTCAAAAACAAAAAAGTTTCAAATAAGTAATTAAAATTGATATTTTAATAGCACTCTTACGTACGCGAAGCTAATACTTTTACTATTAATAATAAAACACTATCAATTCTATGTGCTACCTGTTCATAGATTTGAACTCGGTGCCAAGCCTAATACATAATATAATAAGCATGAGTACCTAAACTCGCCGGGCGCGTTTGAATTTATTTGTTAGGATTTAAGAAATTTAGTACCGATTTTCTAACTTGATAGCGTTAGCGTAGAATCAGAAGTCTATATGGTTTCGTTACCGGCGAAACTGTATATAGCTTAGAAAGATATTTGGATGAATTATGAATTCTGAAAGTTTTCTCGTACTTGGTTGTTCAAAGTAGTAGAAGGTAGCTGCGTTGTTAGTTGTGGAAATTTCGTCTTTTAGCAGTTAAACAGTCTTAATTCTCATTTAGTTTTATTCTGTTTAGGGCTTGGCACCGACTTCAAACCTATGAATAGGTAGCACATAGAATTGATAGTGTTTTATTATTAATAGTAAAAGTATTAGCTTCGCGTACGTAAGAGTGCTATTAAAATATCAATTTTAATTACTTATTTGAAACTTTTTTGTTTTTGAAGTCGGTTTTTTTAAACGATCCCACTACTGGGACACAGGCTATCTCTCTAGGAGAGGGAAAGTTCTTAACAATATAAATAAATTAAGTCCAAACACGAGGTAGCTACTGTAAACCGTTGAGGAGTTCCCTAGACTGCCGTTCGTTTTCATCATCAGATCCCTAATGACAGTCACAATCCATCAAGGTGTAAAGTTCTCATACGAATAATTCAAATCAAAACGAATAAATTAAGCTCAAACACAAGGAAGCTGCTATGAATCGTTGAGGAGTTCTCTCGGCTGTCTCTCGTTTCCATCCGGAATTCCCTCGACGGTCAATTGTCACCATCATCAGGTAAACTGCAGACCTTCAGTTGTTATGATACATACCTACAGGTACAAAGTTTTCATCAATATAAATGAATTAAGTTCAAACACGAAGTAGTTACTGTAAACCGTTCAGGAGTTCCCTTAGCTGTCCTTCGTTCTCATCATCAGACCCTTAATGACAGTTACGACCAAGCCTGCTGCAAAGTGCTCGCCAATACGAATCATTCAAGCCCAAACACAAGGCAATTACTCCAAATAGTCAAGGAGATCCCTCGACTGTCTTCCGGCTCCAACATCTGGTCGACTTCGACCTTCGTCAAGTTGTAGTGTTGTTAAAGGCCTACTTAAACATTATACAAAAAACCTACTCGCCCCTACAATTTTCGAAAGTTCCCCTCGGTTTCTCGAGGTTTCCATCATCAGATCCTGACCTCATGACAATGGGACCAAATGGCAAGTATACCCTATCGAATAAAAAAATAATTTTGCAAATCGGTCCAGGCGTCTTCGAGTAATCGGTGTACATACATAAAAAAAAAAAAAAAAAAACATACGCGTCGAATTGAGAACCTCCTCCTTTTTTGAAGTCGGTTAATGAATCGCAATGTGTTGGTAAGCGCCAAAGCGCATAACTTAACAGCGCCTGGACCCATTTTTCCAATTCATCAGCCTATAAGTGCCCACTGCTGAGCAAAGGCCTCTTCTCATACGGAGAAGGTTAGAGTATTGATCACCACGCTTGCTCAATGCGGGTTGGCGTTTCAAACTTATAATTAGAAATTATAAGTCCAGGTTTCCTCACGACGTTTACTTTCACCGTATGTCAGTGGTGTCTAAATAATCATAGAAAGTAGTATATAACTCGGAAAAAGACGACTGACGGTTGAGGCAAGCAGCGACTTTAAAAAAGTTTTGAGTGAAGCAATTAACAACTTAGTCATCAACTACAGCAACTTGAAAAGTATTGACATTAACCGCAACTCGAAAATCAAGTCGCTACGTCTTTGCAGCCCTAGTTGAAAATATTAAACAGACAGTTTCTAGCTACTTGTGAATTGCTGGTTGCTCCATATGTAAAGCGCCTAACTACATATTATTATATTGTCATTACATAAATGTTAAACTGCATTTGCAATGAAGGTCCTTTACCTGCGTAAAATAATGCAGTCGATAGTAGAAGCTCCTTTTTTTAATACATTGTCGCACACTATGGTTTTCTTATTTGACGTTGGAGCGTTTACAAACATTCAATTTCACATACACATCAAATCCAGACCCGGAAAAACAATTTGTTGATAACAATTTGTTGATAAAAACTTGTTCCGTGCGGGAATCGGACCCACAACAGGTTGCACGGCAGCCATTTGCCCAGCCACCGCGCCAACCGTGCAGTGCAAGCATGTGCAAGGAACCCTTCGGTAACCTCAATCACACGGCGAAAATTTTGCATACTTAGATACACGTCCTGCTTATGCATGCTGCAGTAATTATGCCGATTTTTATTTAAATTTAATTCAGCAGTTTTTACTTGAAGGGTAACAAACAACAATCCATCCTTCTGCTCCGGGACGAAACCGGCAAAATAATGTGCCGCAGTCCCTGTGCTACCCCAGTTGAATGGCACCGGCCGTGTTTAACACTACTTTCACGGCAGATTATCCGTCAGTACCCAAAAATACCGGTATCGGTATTAATTCCGGTAATAATGTAAACGAGGTCCTACGTTTAAGGAAAATACGTCTATAGTTTAAATATAAATAAGGTTTAATTGACAGTTATATATTACTTATTTGCCAAGCAAATATTTGTTACCAGTGCCATTATTATCACAGGTGATTTTTTTTCTATTTGAACAAACGTCACCTATAATGTTGAATTCAAAAACAGTTCTTATGATGTTTGAAATAAAGGTGCTAACTAGATCAAAGTGTAATTGTGACGTAAAATAATTTGGTTGGCCTTATTGGCGGCCGATACGTGGAATTAAAATAAGGAATTATTTACTGCTCGATTGAAGGTCGTAGTAATTTGTTTCAATATCATAAATGTTATATCACCATTATTATTGAAGCCTATTATTTTTCATATGATTGTACTTGAGAATTTTACAAATCTTAAGTCCCGGTATCATTTGAAACCACTCGAGTATCAAGATTAAGCACACAATTATGCACTTTTAGCGACTCTAGCGCGGTTTCACTCATTGCTCGGCTCCTACAGAACCTAGCATGATGATTAATAGCCTAATAGCCTTTCTCAATAAATGGACTAAAAAACACAAAAACAATTTTTCAATTCTAACCAGAAGGTCCAGAGATTAGCGCGTTTATAATATTAGTATAGATAAAGCTAAAACGCTGCCTTCAGAGTAAAAAAATATTTATAGGTATTATCTTAAAGTTTCTATTCCCTTTTTCAAAAACAAGGAAACAAAAACAATAATATCTCTGTTCCAGCTATTAAGAAGCCTTGACAAAAACACTGAAGCTGCCTACGCTGTCAATAGAACGCGTGCCGAGCTGACCACGACCGTCTCTAAAAAGGGTGTAATGCGTTTTCATATGTAAATCTTATGAAAGATTTATATAATATTAATAGTAATTGTTGTAAGAATAAACAGTTTGCAGTTTCCTCGTTATATTATGTACCGTTGAGTAGGTAACGCACAGGGTTCTTATTGGTACGTCTAGAAAGGAACAAAAAAACCACTTCTAAAAATCTTACAACAGTTAATCACCAAACTATGACCAACGAAACCCTAAGAGCGCCGTGGTTTGGGATCCAACAAAAATGCATATATATATTTATGTGTCGTCAGGAGCATGGGTCGACAGACGGATTACCTAATGGTAAGCAATCCGCGCCACCCGTTACCGTAAACGCTCGTAGGTAATACCAAAAGAGTAACTCCAAGTTAAGTGCGTTGCGGGCTTCTTGTGTGTTTTTAGGGATTAAAAGACAGGTGATTTGACCTATAATATCCAAAAACGACACATCGTCAGTCGGTTAACTGCTTCGGTTTTTTAAACTTTGCCCTAACTCATTTAGATTTTCTACTGTGTTGGCGCTTCCAAACATAGAATTACATAACCAGATCTGATCATAACTGATCCATCGAACATGAATGGGTCGCGATCTTCTAATTGTCCATAACATTCAGGTATATTGATTGAAGATACTTTATTCAATGCGCATATAAATATAGTAATAGACTTTTTTGTTGGGACAAACCCGCCGCATACTCCCAACTCCTATAAGTCAGGATCTACAGTAGATACAACCATGAAAACACCGGAACACTGTAGTCCGGTGCGACCCAGGGACATGAATGTCTTGGATCCCGCAACGAAATAAATCAGCAGATATTATTTGAGGAGAAGAAAAATCAAAACACAAAATAGTATAGACTTACGTATCATCATCAGCTTTTAAGAACCAGTCTGCGTCTCTTCTATGGTGTTCGTACACGTAGCGGAATGCTGCCTTCGTTTTCGCCCAAAGGAAATCTCTTCCTTCGCTCACTGGGAGTTTTACTGTAGGCAGGCTGGGATCTGTTTTAAAGGAAATCTGAATTAGATAAGTAAGGAAAAAAGGAATAAGTACAAATGTTTTATGGTGTTTAAATTATAAGTAAAGCTGGACCATCCTGGCCATCCGAAGCGCGATGTGGCAATTTTTTCCTAATAATCATGTTGGACGTCGTTTGTGGCCTAAAGGGTTAGGCGTTCGCTCTTAGTTTTTCATGCTTGAAGATACGAAGCCTGTCCAGTACCAGTTTGACTTATTCCAGTTTATATTGAGCTTTCTTCGACACAATGGTGTAGAAAAACATCGCGAGGTAACCTGGATTTTAATTATAAGATTGAAACCGCCAATTCGCCTTCAGCAAGCGTCTGAAGAGGTCTTTGTTTAACGGTGGCACTTATAGGCTGCCGATTTAATACATATTAGTAAATATTGTATCAAAATAAATAGATATCTCATAAGCAACTTCCAACCCCGCAACGTGCTCGTTTGGCACGTATTCCATAAAAACTGTAGATACATTTCATTTAAAATCATATGAAAAAATGCTGGATTGGATCCTTTGGCAGGCTTTCACTCGTTATTTACTATACTACAATATAAATTTTGTTTTAGGTGCGCGCACAGACGTGTTTATTCTTTAATTATTTGCATCAAACGAAACGTCACATAAAGGTGTTTATAAACGATGTTGTTTTAACACTATTGAACATTTCTGTATAAATATTTCTATCAATTTAATGCTAGGTACATAACACATCACTGGGAAGACAATTGCTAAAGTCTCGACACCTACGGTCTTTTATCAGAACAGTTGGAATGTCATAATAGGTCGAGCTACTTCTCACAATATATCAGTCAGACAATAAGGACTATTGAACACAGGGTTAATTAAAGACTTTAAGTCATGTTAGCTGTCTCATCTTAACTCTTCGGTTGACCTTACATCGTCAACTTTCCTATAGAAAGAGGAAGATTCTACTAAATAAATCGAAAGACCTTCTCTCATCTTCGTCCACTTTTTACACACACACTCACACACACTGTCACACTTAAACTGTACCTTATCACTGCAGTAGAAGACCAAAAAAGTATTATATAAAAAGACCCTAAATACCTACTACTAAATAGTACTAACCTTCAACACTGCTCATAAACAGAATTTTGTTGCACCGTTTGCCCCACGTAGCTTTTACGTGTTTCGCTTTCACCTCGTGGTTCTTCGGTTGTGTCATGACCCAGCATAAAACCCTAACTCTTCGGGACAGCTCGTCAGCAACCGACCTGTCCTCATCCTTATGAGCTGGTTCATCATTACTGTGCTCACCGATTGCTGTGATCGGATGCTTATCCAAATCCCTTACCGAATCCCTGGAATCAGATAATATTTTTTAGTTTGATTCTAGAACCTTCCAAATGCCTTCCATTCCATAAAAACTATATAAGTTGTATCCCGAATGGAAAAGAAGAATTTATTAATCCTTATCTCATTATATGCCCACTTTAATCCCATGAAGTACCGAATGAGTTGACCATCATAAATTGCATACAAAAAACACGTGCTGCTTCTAAGACAAAATTGCCGATCTAGGACATAAACAAAGTTCGTATTCTTGATCAGCAGCACATACCAACTACTGAACACGCAGAGAGATAACATTCAATTTAAATGGCACGTTTACACGCTTGCCGAGGCTTGACAAACGTCCAGAAGCTCCCATTTTGTGAACAGGTTGATTGGCGTGGCTTGCATTAGCTTGCATGAGCTTGTTGGCGATCCAGTCCGGTGTAAGTTTTTGGACACAGATCAAAGGAAATTTGTGACAAGCGTTTTCGACGCATTAACACGATGGCTATGTTAAAGGCTTGGAGCTTGTCGGCATTTGCCCAGTCTCGGCAAGCGTCTAAACGTACCATTAACAGGCAGATTTCTAAAAATAGCAAAAACATACTATCAGTATCAAATGGAGTGTTCAAAAAAGTATTGAATATCATTTTCAGAACAGGAAAGAAGAGATAGGTGCCTGCCATAATGACCTTGCCAGTAAGCTCTACGAAATTCAACCTTAGCGCAACCAAATAAAGGCGTTATCAAAGTCGAACTCTTATCTTGGATGAGCAGTTAACAATGTTTTAGCAGACAATTTGCTTCGGTAGGAAACTACTAAGCGATAATGTTCACGATAGCAGTACCATTATCATAAGAAAAATAAGTAATTCTATTTTAATCCTTTCTATAATATAAAAATGAATCGCGAAATGTGTAAGCGCATAACTCAATAACGCCTGGACCAATTTTGCAAATTCTTTTTTACGAGAGAAAACTTTAGAAAAATAAAGGGAAATAGCGGTTATTAACAACCCTTTCGACGCCGTGGCCGTTCGCTTGCAAAACAACAGACTGACACCAGGGTAGTCGGATATCCGTGCGAAGCAGTGCTGCGGCCTGCTAGTTTTATTTTAATAACAAAATCCTACTATCCTTTCCAACTAATATTTTAAATGTGGAAATTTGTGAATAAACACGGATGTATGTATGTTTGTTATTCTTTCACATAAAAACGGAAGGACCGATTTGGTATGTAGATAGGTAATATCCTGGATAAACACATAGTTTACATTTTTGCCACCACGCGTTCGAAGCCGTGGGCAAAAACTAGTATTATATAATGACTTATTATCCTGCTAGTTGCTGTTGATTATTTTAGAAGATTTAAAATTAAGTAAAGTCTGAGAATGTCCGTGAATCCACTTGGTATAAAACAAGCTTATTAAAATTTGGTCTTGAAGCCTTATTTTTTTTATTTTCTGTCTCTGTCGGTAATGAAATATTTGCATTTTTTTTTCAGATTTTGATTTTCTTATCAGCCTTTTTTTTTAAATTATATAGTCAAATATTATATAGGCATCCGACATCAAAAGTCGGTTATTTTATCACAGTTTGTACTGTTCAAGAGTCATGTTAAAATGAAGCCATTTATGTGTGGACTTTCGAATTTAACGAGATGTTTCTCAAGACGTGAAATTAACTACTACAATGACATCTTTTTTCACAAAAGATTTTTTTAATTTAAGCAATTCTACATTCTAGAATTAAAACTATTTTATTTCTACAGCACGCTAAACTATCTATAGTCGTGTATGATTATTTTTAACTGGACTGGTGGTGTCCATACAAACTATTAACATCCAACATCTTCCAGGGTCGCGTGTCAAGCGCAATAATATATCACGTCCTCGACCTGGAGCAGGAGAAGGAACGGAGGGTTTTTAGTCAGTAAGAGTCTGACATTCCCGCTCGCCATACCCTAACCGAAACAAGAGATTTGGTGATTTTCTCTGCTCAAAAAAAGGGATCCAAAATGACTACTTTTTAAACACTCCAATCGTCAACTAGCCAAAAAAATATAAGTTGATCTTTGATTGATCTAATGAAATAGATTCTACAAAATGCTATAAAATGTAGCCATTCAAAAAATAAGCATGAAAATAACAAAAAAGTTCCTAATACACACTGCTAAGAATACAGAGTAAAAAAAATATCTATGAAGGCATGAAAACGAAACAGGCTACTTGTAAAAGACCTGACTGTCTAATGCGAATCCTACTATCCTACCTACTAATATTATAAATGTGAAAGCTTGCGAGAATGTATGGTTGTATGTTTGTTATTATTTCACGCAAAAACGGCTGGACCAATAAGGTTAAAATTTGATATGCAGATAGGTGATACCTTTTATTAATACATAGGCTGCTTTTAAACAACATACCACGCGGGGGAACCCGCGTACGGGACGCTAGTTTTAAATAAATGAACGCTATTAAAACGTTACTGCTCTCAACCTTTTTATTGGTTCGTTAACTTGTAATATACCAATCAGATTGCCGAAAGCCATAAAAGTGTCGACTTGAAGGCCAAGTAAAAAAAAAACTGCATCAGACCCTTTAAAATTACATAATAATAAAATTGTAATATTATCCACGTTATGTGACAAATTAAACGGTAATATCTATAATTATTATTATGTTATATCATTATTAATTTCAAGAGGTGGCAGTAAACATAATTCTACATTTAATCTAGTGCGATAGTTCCGGAACGCTGCGACACACACGAAGATAATCGCGAATCGGTTATTTACTGAACAGGATGTTGACCTATTCATTTTATTAATTTATTTAATTATGGCACTCCAAAGACTTATTCACTAATACATTTTAGGGGTACAATATCAAACTTAAACTCTAGACTGAATATGCCCCTAAAAGCGTGCAACAGCACTTTCAATATTTCAAAGTTTCGTAATGTTGCTATAGAAAAAAAAACAATCTATATCTCAAAATATTTTTGACAACATTTTTTTTGTAAAAACTACCGGATTCGCACAATAAGCAGAAAGTGAGTAACAGCGTCAAAAAAAGTCAAAATAATTTATAGGAATTAGACAGGGTCTTTTGAACCTCAAACAAAACTTAATTATAAAAAGTGTCAGTCTGTCGGCCAGTCCTCTTAGTGAAGCTATTTGCTGGTTCCAAAGTGTAGATTCCTATGGAGAAGAACGAGCAAGAAACTCCATGATTACTCTTTTTAAATCATTTTTACAAAGATTCTTTGGTACATTATAAAGTTGGTTTATAATACTTCTATCTGCATTGATACACACATACTGAACATCTTTAGCGGCAAAACTACTACGAACAATACGGGTCACGTCAACCAACACAGATAACATATGATTTGTGGCGTTTGAACGCGATGCAAATTGCTTTAAATCAATTCTGCTCACACAACGCTCTTAAGAACACTAAGACTTGGGCGACAAATCAGAAAACAGGAATAGCAATAAAATAGATGAAACTGTTCAAACATGTTGGTCATTTTCTATTTTTGTAAATTCTTCGAAATTGACAGACAAGCACAGTCACTTCTATTGTAAATTCATACTTCTAAATAAATTTATTTTTGTTACAAATATGACAGGCCATCTATAAGCAGGGTTGTAACCACACCTATATTAAAGCTTGAAAACAAAAAAAAATATGGTAAATCTTAGGCAAACTTGAAACTGGGTACGATCATTAATTAGTAAGAAAAAGGCCATCTTATTGATCTTGTTCTTACACTTCGTATAAAAAATCCTAAAAAACTATTGAAAATGAATATTGACCTACCAGAATTCTTTTGGCAAACTATCACATACTGATGATTACTAAATCGGAATTTCTTCTTACCTACAATCCTAGATCGCAAAGAAAATCGATTAGTTATCAATTCACGCAACGCATCCGTCCTGCGTTTAACTTTACACTACCTAGTGAAATTATTATGTAAGACAACACATTTGTTAAAGTCAAATCATTTATTTCAAATAGACCACTATAAGCACCTTTGAACGTCAAAAAGATAAGTATCAATAAAGATCACTCAGTTTGTCACTAGAGTGAAGTGCTCGACAATGGAGCTTTTTTTCTTATGAGGATTTAGGCATAATATAAAATATGTTTACTGTGATTTGGGTCAGTGGCAAAAAAATTCCTTCATGAGTACCTTATTTGTTTTTTAAGCCTGATTATTTTTTTTATTAAAAACGTTCAAACATATTGTGGGTGCGTTTACAAGCAGCCAGTTGCCCAGCCACCGCACCAACCGTGCAGTCAAATTTTGTTGTATTCTTTCTATTAAAACCGACGGAAACGATTTTTATGCCTAACAGTATATTTGATCAAAAAATATTTTAAATTAAATTATTAAAATCGGGGGCGTCGACCACGGGTGCGTCGACCACTGGGGGCATAAGCCGACCCGAGCATTTTGCTATAATCTCTTAATATGTATTACGTTTTATCAAGGAGCACAACTGCACTGCTCCGTGAATTAATTTTTATTTTTACTACTTTACAATTATTCAGTATGGGGTTTTGAATGTTGTTCTATAAGCCCGGTTTTAGGAGGTTGTGACAAGCTTACCGTCCCATTAAAAAAGAGAATCACCGCGCCATATATTCCCGAAAGTATTCAAAATGTGGCTACTTAAATCAAAACACAATAAAGAAGAAGATTGCCTTCAAGAGAAAGCATTTTATTCCTTTTCAATTACCTAGGTATAAAGTTGATGATCGTTACCATTAAAATACTTATTTGTGAAATTTTACCATTATTACACATGACAATTGAACTAAAGAATTCTGTAGTCAGGAATAAATTTTCAGAGAAAATATATACTTAATTAACCATAAATAAATTAAGAACAAGTTATCCACCCTAAAAAAACATGAGCTATATTTTTTTTAAGATTTACGTAGTAAATATATGGACGAATGGAACAATTAAAAATATTAACGACGGTATACTTATGAATCACAGATTAAAACAATGTTAACTATCGCAAATATTTATGTTAAAAAATACCTAGGTATATTATTTTTATCGTGATAATAAATTACCTATTTATTTTCCTGTTTCAGTATCTTACATTAACTTCCAAACAATATTAAATATAGGTAAATATTAATTAGGTATACAAAGGTTAACAAAAATACAAAATTAGCAAAAATACAACATGCCATGCTGTAGCATGCAAAATTAAGAAAAAAAAAGAAAAGATGACGCCATGCGACATGCAAAATTTTAGATAGAGAGTTACCTGTATGTATGCCAAGCAGTTTGTCGTGAGAATCCAGTCGATGTTAAAAGTATGTATGCAAAACTAAATCCAGCAGAGATCCCAATCACCAGCGTTAAAAAGAAACGTCGACCCATCACCCGACCTTCCGCCTGCACATAGTTCATCGCTTACAATCTACGCTACGTTCGATTTTCAAAACTTTTTTTTCGTAGACTGCTCGCGGCTGCGTCTACGCGCCGAGTCGCCGAAGCGGCCTTACTCCACTTGTACTTTACACCAATTAGACGTGTCAATACGTTTGCATACAATTTATTTCATGTGCAATCAGTAACATATAAAAGCGCTTGTAAATTATTAAACGTTCACATATGTTTAATGGTAACAATTAACAGTTGTGGGAAGTCGGTGTTATTCGGTTTGTTCGCACACCAAACTGCGTCATCTTAATTCAAACAATATGTTATTTTGCTGTAAACACGGTTGTTATGAATTTTTGTACATATACAAGAACAAATTTAATTAAAGCCATAGGATTTTTTTTTAAACTTTCGTTTTGATTGCATCAGGACACGATTTAAAGTAATATTAATAGATAGTTATTACAAATTCTTGGTCTAGCTCTAACAAACGAAAAGGCGTTTTGATTGAGTGTTTAATTTTTATATTCTTGCCTTGAACGTAAGGTATTTCTTGAAATAAAGGACACTAAAATGCATTTCATGCAAGGTTTCTTATATATTTTTAAATTCGACAGCACGGTTTCTGCGCAAAGGCTGGACAACCGATTAGGTACTACATGAGAAAATTCAAATTATGTATACATATAATATGTGTTCTATTAACTCGAAATAAACATTGCACTTTGTCAATTGTAGTTGATAGATACAAAGACGTTGTAGGTTCGTTATCAATTTAACACTTACAATAAACACATCATTGCGTAGGTATTATATCTCGACCAAGATGCTGCCATTTCATTTTATTGTCCAATGATACCAATTCGTTTTATTGATGACCTATTTTATTTACATTTAAGCAGTCTATAATAATCGCGTATATTAAAGCAATTCGAACAAAATAATACACTTCTTTTTTCAAATGTAACGCTCGGCAGTTGTTATTGAATTACACAAAAAATAAACACGTAGGACACTTTTTTTAGTTTTTGGTGTGAAAAGTATATTTTTTTAAATAAAATCTCCAACGACTCGTAGCGTAGGCACTTACTAAATATGTATACGTTGATCTCAACATTTTTTATGAACGTTGCGTTATACGCGCAAAATCACAACTTGAACTGTTGTCCGTAGGTAACTCCACAGTCCACACACAGAGATCTTATTATTGTTTATTTATTTATCATCGCCATCACTCACCACATTGGTACAATGTTATCAAATAATCAGCATATTTAAGACGATTACACATTTACAACAACACGCAACTTAAAGAAGTTTACGCATTTCATTTCTTTTAGTCAATGGTGACTAAGGTTTCTTTTTTTTTTGTAGTTGTCTCTACGAACTCAAGACTACTCAAGAGTCTTTTTTGTCCTTAACAATTGATTACTAAGTAAATAAAGTAATCAAATAAAAAACTTATCGAATTTCCACAATCCTCATTTTTCGATGATTTTTGTACTAAATTCTGAGTTGTGACGTCACAACATCATGTTTTTTTGCGTCAAATATCAGCTAAAGTACTTATCATTTTTCGAAAAAAGTCCATTAAAAAATGTGATTATTTTTTAAATCTTTTTTGCATTGAAATGTCTAAATAATTAATATCTAAGTCAGGTTATTTTCAGGAATTTTATCAGTAATCATTTAATGTCTCTGAGTGTGACAGTTAGAAACGGAAAATAAAAGTTCATTATTGAGGGAATTGAACCCTCAATGTACGAAAAATGTATTTTTCTATTATCAATTTCAAGAATTTACAAATACATACATTTTTATTGCTAGTTTCGAGTTCAATATATCCTTCAGGCTTCATGGCTTTAGTATATCTGGTAGTTTAAATTAGAAAACCGGTTGCAATCAATAAAAGAATTCTATTTTACGGATAATTAAATACTCTACTTTTATGACTTCAATACTTATCCGTTATGCAATTATGCCACGAATAATAAAAGAACATATTTAAAAATGCAACAAAAATGTCTAGGAATACAGAGTGGCTTTACTGCAATTAAAATCCTATAAAAGGCTTATCGTATGACCAATTAACAAAAAAAACTCTGTATAACGTTGCATGATAAGAAATGCATTGAACTATTTACTTTAGTAAGTTTTACTTACTCAAAACTATAGTAATTATTAGCTTATAAAATAAAAATAACACTTACCAACAATAAATAAGACAAATATTTTCCGCAAAGCAATCAAAAAATTTCTGTACTTACTTCGTACAAAGAATATTAACCGTCAAACGAATGTTCCTTTAATCAGTTATATTTAATATATTTTAAAACACAGACAAGTTATTTAAGCAATTTTTTTTAAACAGATAATGTTATCACATAGAACAAAACTCGTTAGCTAACATACATTCAATGAACTAAATTCCAGAGGAAGTTTAGTAGACATATAGTTTTATAACAAATTGTAATCTAGCAATAAGCTAATTATTATACATATCCTGTGATAATGTTAATTGTTACAGTTATTCATAGGATGCATTAATATTTTATCAGTGCGTGACAGTTCTCCTAGAGGAGCGTATATTAGTTACGAAAAAAATATAAAAATAATCCTACATTTATAGTGATAAGTTGTGGCACATCAGGAAGTGTGTGTTTTTTTTAATATAAACTTTATAACAAATTATTAAAAGCTTTTTGATGCTATGATTTTTTTTTATTATGACTTTATTTTGTGCATCACCTATTTTGTAACCATGAGCCATAGACTGTTATTTTCTTTTTCTTTTATGTGAATAAACAAATTAGTTTTTCAGATAATGCTCAACTGAGAAATAAATAATGTTATGTTATTTTAATGTTTCTAGATAAGGTAGTGAGATAGTTAAACAACTTAAGTTCCTATCAGAATTTCTCTTGAAAGTCATATAATATCCAGATAGAAACATAAAACAGAGAAATTAATAATTGCAACCATAAATAAATGTTTAAAGTTACTTTTATTGCTGAATGTGGTGTGTAAAACCTTAACAACAAACCAACAACTTTGAAAATTTGATTTGAAATTTTCAGGTACAATACCTGAAAATTTCAAATCAAATTTAAAATCTACTGACTAATCTACTTTCAAATTTACTGAAAGTTAAGGTTTTACACACCACATTCAGCAATAAAAGTAACTTTAAACATTTATTTATGGCTGCAATTATTAATTTTCTCTTAACTAAAGTGGCAGGAAATTGTAGGAAGATTAAAAAGATTGTAATAAAACAGATAAATGATCATGGTGTTATAATTAAAATTATATTATCAAATAGTTACACTTAAACCAAAACCCTGTGCAAGTGAGAAAAGAGGTTTTGAGTTGTTGCTTACAGAGACAACAAACTACTTCCCAAAAGTGTTATTAATATAAAAAACCAAGAGCTTTCTGATCTATCCCTTGTCTTCAAAAAAGTAAAACATCTGGGATCATATCTGTTTTTAGCCCATAACAAGGGATACCAAATGACCGAAAATTGGTATTACGAACAAATTAGAGATATCTAACAAAATTACACAAATTCGTTAATTCCAACAAGAATACAAATATTGCACACCAAACAAGTTTAACCTTTATTTGATCGATAATATCAACGAACTACAAGATACCGCAACTTATTTTGAAAGAATAATAATAAATACAAAAAGCTTACGAAAAGCTGGACTTACTGTCATCGTAGCGGTTCACTTAGCACTTTTTTAAAGGAATATGGGTCATATTTCAAAATTGTGTTATGGGTAATTTGGATTTTTAATTCATTTTTGATTAGTTGCGCATCAGTATTCAGAATTTAGGTAATTCTGCATGGCGATAATTGCGATAGCGAAGCGACGGAATCGTACGATATCAATAGAAAAATGTCAAAGTCAATGTCAAACGTTTGCAGTGTCAACCACAGATTATACATATTCGAGACTTTTAATATGTCCATTTAAAATTTTAATTTAGGAATGCCAGGCTTTTTATCGAATATTTATATTTTAGGATTCAATTATGGAGCATAAAATTATATTAAAAAAAAATACCGTACATCTGATTTAGATATGAAATACCTAAGGCATTAAATCCGACTATGTGCTGTCAGACTGTGCACGAAGTATGAATAAATAAATAAAAGATCTACATATTAGTGGTTCATATTATTTTAATTAGATTTTTCATAACGTGTTAACTACTCTTTGTTGCAGTACCTAAATGCAGCTATGGTGCCATAATCAGAAAGGGTTATTAAAAAAAAACAATATTAATCAACCAAGTTTGAGAGAGTTATGCTACGCCATGTGTGGCTAAGACTCGACTGGAGTCGAGATACTTTTCACATAAAACGCGGTCATCCAACTACAACGTTGTGTTTCTTTCCTCTCGCCACGTACCAAGACCTCGGCACAGGCCGGAGGCGAGGGGATAACTTGATTCCCTGCAATATGGTTGATTTGAGCATTTAATGTGAGTGAAGAGAACGTGACGTTCGTGAATTGCCGCAGTCTGGAATTCTAAACTGTTTTAATGTTGTCCTAGACTAGAGTTTATTTCCTGTTGTTTCATTGACTGGATATCATATCACATTGTTTTTAACAATATTCAAGATTTGACTTTGAGCTCATAAAGGCGACTAGAGCCAGGCTTCTCGGTACTTGGGTGTATGCCCGGATTAAGCCATATATTATGATAATTTTTGGAATGATGACCAATTTTTTCAGTTTAAGTTTGAAGTTTAAATTATGTCCGGGATATATGAAAAAAGGGACACAACACTTATGAATCAGGATGATAACAAACAATTGCAAAGTGCGCACCCTCTTTGGGTGTTAGATTGTTGATATATCTGTACGAATAAAAAGTAAAGATTAGAAAGAAATAATGATTTAAGTAAGTTAAAAGATGATTAATTGATTTTATTCTGACTAACATTGCAGCAACTTTTCGAACAAATACGGATCTTTGGCTTTGGACTTACTTGTAGTCATGTAAAGTCCTGCCATCTATTATATTATTGTAGTTCATGCGTACTACGGAACGTTTATACTACGTCTTGCAAAGCTGGTTTACGATCTGTATCATCTGTAATCTTTTATCTGTGGTTTAGTTGGAGACTCGGAAACATCCATCGTGTTGTAAACACTTTTTATTATTTTTTAAGTTTTTATTTGTCCAATAGATGTAATTAACCGGGAAACATGAGCAAGTGATAGTGTGTTTGTCTTAGATATGTTTATGTTCATCTCTTATACTGGAATTTAGACGGACAATACCTTAGGGCAAAATGTGTCGCTTAGGGTTTTTTGTGTTTATTTGTTTTCTACAATATGTAGCTGCATTTAGTGGCCTGTGTGGGAGAAATAACTCGGAGCTTAGCTGTACAACAGAGGTAATAACTTATTTATATTGTTTGGCATGCATTTAAGTCGCATCACTGCATCAATCAGTATTGATTTTTGCAATGAAAGGACTAGACATAAGACATTGGTTGCATTATTTGACAGGCGTCCTTCACGACTCCGATCCATAGTTTTCCTTAAATCATTAGTCAATATTAAGTTTAATACGTTTCTTTACAATGTGTAAGACCAAACAAGTATCCTTAGTGATGTAAACATGTGATTGACCCATCTTTGTTTGAGAGCCTTGATCTACCTCAATTAGGCCTCAGTTTTACAAAAATCTTTGGGAATCACATCTATTATGGATAATCACTGAAGCGTTTTGCTTGTTTTATCTTAATATTTTCCTAATGAAATACCAGTTAAGATTCACTATGAACTGCATTTGTCTAAAAAGTCAAGGTTACACATTTAAAATGATGTTGTTTTTTACATGAATGAATTTATTAGTTTTGTAGCTACAGATTGTTGTATTTATATATAGAAAACCTGTTACAAAGTGGCTTTCTTACAATATTTGATAAATTCCATTACATTTGAAAAACTTTGCCTGTACTCAAGTATCGGGTGGCTTCTGAAATTGCATTTTGAATTTAGTCACTGTATTTCTATACAATTTATAAACTTACCTAATGTTTGGTTATTGGTATTTGAAAATGGTGATTTGATTTGTGATATTAATAGCAGACATAACATTTTTTGGTTAGAAATATAGGCCCTTTAATGAAATGAAATAAAACCTTGATATAGTTGAGCATTGTACTGCCTGTTGTTGATAATATTAAGGTTCAGGTCGGCAAGTTTTATTAACTTTATTTCTTGAAATATTTATTTATTAAATTTTCTTTAATATTTTGCAACTCTTTGCTTTTTTGTATGTGGTATTATTTGGTATGTGCTTCACCGTGCCATAGTTTACAGGGGCCAGAATCCTTCCCCCCATCCTTGACACCTTTAACAATTCTCGAATGCCTTATAACCCATGAATGCTTACCATCAGGTGATCCATGCTTGTTTACTGACCAATACTATAAAAATATTGTCACATATTAAACCTTATTCATGAAAGTTAAACACAGACAGTATGTTTTTACAAGATAAATCAATATTACATTACAAATAAAGGTTCTCGGAAAAGATCTTTGTTCAAACTTTAAACATACAGAAAGTTTGAAAAGGACTTATAATCTAATCATTTATTTGTTTAAGCACATAAAAAATAACAATAGGTAATTTTGTCATACATGCTGAAAAACCTATTAAAATAACTTGATGATGGCATGTTTTTATAAATAAATCAGGACAGTGGAAAAGCCAGCATTGGGCATAAGCCTCTGCAATAGTATGCCAATGAGCTTGATGTTCAGTTCTTTACATCCTACGAGAATTTTTGTAACTACCTCTTAAAAGTGGTAACATTTGTAAGTTTGTATGTAGGGGGTAATCTTTGGAACCGCTGGTCGGATTGCCAAAATTCTTTCACTGATAGATAGCTACAATGTTCCTGAGTGCTATAGGCTATAAAACATCACACTACGATTAAATGATAACTTTAATACTAATCATAAACTAATTAGAACAGAACTGATAACAACTCAACCAAAAACAGCAAGACCAAGAAAAGACACAAGAATCATTAAACTTGGGAACTATAAGTTGGAGCAAGTAATCAATGCACTAAAAAACAAATTCTCTGACTACATAGCCAGTACAAAATCATTAGAGACACAAGGAAAATACAACTGGATTGACAATACCATAAAAACTGAAACAAAACTTGCGGCAAATACCAAAACTGAACACAAAAACTCGCTTTCAAAGAACACCACAGAACTGCTGGAGAAGAGAAATCACTTAATTAGCGCTAAAGGCACTCAAGATAGAAGGGAAAAGTTAACAACGATAAATAAAGAAATACGAGATAGCATAAGGAAAGATAGAAAACATAACAGAATGGAAAAAATAGAGAGATGTATAATAAAATCGGGTGGCGTTAAGAAAGCATATAAGGAAATAAAGGATTCAATGGATTGGATAGTTAAAATGAAAAATGATCGCGGAAACTGGAAACATCGCCGAACTGATATACTGACAATAGCAACTTCATATTATAAGAAATTATACGAAGCCAAAACACCAAAAAACAAAATCGATTTATCAGAACCATCAAGTGTTCCGAGTATTCTTAAAACTGAAGTCGAGAAAGCTATTGACACACAAAAGGTTGACAAGACACCAGGTCCAGATGGCATTAGTAACGAGATCTTACAACAAGGCAAACATGTTTTAATACCTGCGCTCACAGATATCTTCAAATTATTCCTCAGCAATGGACAGAGTCGAATATTATATTGCTTTATAAGAAGGGAGACAAACATGAAATAGGAAATTATCGCCCTATCAGTCTTATGTCCAACATATACAAAATTTTCGCAAAAATAATTTTAAAACGAATCGAAGGCACACTGGACTATCACCAACCTATTGAACAGGCTGGATTTCGCAGGGGCTACTCTGTAATTGATCACATTCACGTAGTCCGACAAATTCTAGAGAAGTGTAGCGAATATCAGCTTACATACTATATTGCTTTCATTGACTACAGTAAGGCCTTCGATTCTTTGATACATGAAAATATTTGGGAAGCTTTAAAGGAGCAAGGGATTGAACATAAATACATTCGTCTTATAAAGAACATATACAGTCACAGCACCGCTAGAGTCCAGTTAGAGAAGAAAGACAGCGCATTTAAAATAGGAAAAAGTGTTAGACAGGGAGACCCCCTATCGCCTAAATTATTCTCCGCTGTACTTGAATCAGTTTTCAGGCGACTCAGTTGGGAAAGTTTGGGGATTAATGTTGACGGTATGTTGCTTACACATCTGAGGTTCGCTGATGACATAGTCCTATTTGCCAGAACATCTAAAGAAATCAATAGAATGATAGAAGACCTTGCGGTTGAAAGCGAAAAGGTAGGACTAAAACTCAACCCGGAAAAAACAAGACTGATGACAAATGGAAAGAAGACCCCAATAACGTTGGAAAACTCAGAAATAAACTACTCTGATGAATACATTTATCTTGGTCAGGTCATAACACAAAAGGAACCTATGCGCGCGGAAGTAAAAAGAAGAATTACAAACGGTTGGAAAAGATACTGGAGCTTAAAAGAAGTTATGAAAGACAAAACACTTCATATCACTATCAAAAGAAAACTGTTCAATACTTGTATACTACCTGTTCTTACATATGGCTGCCAATCATGGACTATAACTCAAGAATTGACAAGCCAGCTTACAACCTGCCAACACGCTATGGAGAGGAGTATGCTGAGTATCAAGAGGTCAGACAGAGTAAAAAACAATATAATTAGAAATAAAACTAAAACCACAGATGTTACACTGAAAATCAAAAGACTCAAATGGAGATGGGCAGGTCACATGATAAGAGGTCATGATAAATGGAGTAAAAAAGTAACAGTATGGCAACCAAGGGAAGGGAAAAGGAAGAGAGGGAGGCCGCAAAAACGATGGGACGATGACATCAAAGAGGTAGCGGGTGTGACTTGGAACAGAGTGGCTCAAGTAAGGACAGAATGCAAAAGGTTGGAGGAGGCCTTTGCCGATTGGCAAACAGATCTGCAAAAGATCACCAAACAACAAATAATAGACTAATTTCAAACTTTAATAAAAAAAAAATCTTTGTGTAATAAAATGTAAATGTAACATAATGTAAGTTAAGGATCTGAATAAAAGGCTATATTATTATTACGATTAAATGAAGCCGAACAGCGAGTGAAACCGCGCGAGAGTAGCTAGTATATTATAATGTTATACTTACTTTTCATTACTTTTAGAGTAAATCAACTTGGGTGCTAATTAACACTCACCGCTCTGCTCCTTTATTGATCTTAACATGATGTTTTAAAGCCATATATTCGAAACAGTAGATCCTGGGATTAGCAAACAAACTCTTTAGCTTATAATATTAGTAACTCTCACCAGTTCCAGTATGAGTATGTAATCCAAAATAATGAATGAGAATCTTATGATAGGTCATATAAGATTCAACTGGGCAGCCATTCTAAAATAGTCTCTATTTGCAAGCTTATAAAAGTGTAATGTAGATTTTGAAGTCTCTAATTAATATTTGAGGGAGTTATTTTTGGCTGCAATCAATCACATATCACAAGTTTTTGATAACATATCGTCCAAATATTTTTGCAGACACACATACCTCAATAGTATTATGTACAGTTGATTATGTAGTGGTAACTTTTTTGATTTGCGATTTTTTTGAGCTCTTAATTTGCATTAATACCATCCGTCACCTTATACTCTGAAGGAGTAGACTGAGGTGTTGCCATTTTTCGGGAAAGTAATTCCGGTATTTCCGGATTCCGTAGTGATATTATTCCTACTCAATTCAAAATTTAAAAGAAGGTATCAAAACTAAATTAATTCATCATTTATCTGTTGAAGAATAAAAACAATCGAATTCTGATCGAAACTTTATGGCTAGAACTTTTATAGATAGACATAAATTATTGCACTTAAATTTAAATATTTTCATAGTGGTCATGGTAATTTGCATTAAAGGTACAATAAATGAAGGGGCCCCATAGAGGGCCAATGCCTGCTGGGGTCGTGAGACTGTTCTAAGGATAAACCACGACTCTGAAACGTATAGGGCATGCGAAGGAACAGGTAACCAAAACGGGGGTAGATGAAGAATTTTAAATTTTTAATACAATTCCTACCTTTTTTGAGGATGACTAATCATCAAATGACTCCTTCCACTCTGGCAGAATAAAATGCCTACATAAGTTCCGTTTTTTTAATAATGCACCAATTCCGGAGGAATGTCCATATTAATATATGTATACGATTCGTATCAATGACCCCATTTCAATCTACCTACTCCGATCACTGGTTTTAGGGATTGTTGTTTTTGGGGGGATATGGGGGTGGAGATTTGGGCCTCTTGTAACCTCACTCACACGGCAAACAACGAAAGAGTTAGTTCACGTCGGTATTGTATGAATGTAAAACATGTCTTCAAAACAGCTCTTCAACACCTGTCTTATGTAGGTACCTAAAGCAGTAAGAAATAGACGTGTTAAGTATGTACAAATACCTAACTGATGATAATTCAAAATGGACGTCATTGATTTGATGAAATCATTTGCTATTTATTATGTATAATGTTTTGTGTATTTTTTTTTATCAAAATTTTATCAGATTAGTCAGTTATCAACAATTTCGGACTTTGTTGTGTAATTCTTTTTGTGGTAAATAGTGAGTGATGACATGTATTAATAACATTTTAGTTTAGTACAAAAAGTTTATTGTTTATATGTTTGCATTGATAGACTCCGTCACTATTAATTAATATAAAATTCAAATTAAAAACCCTGTTTTTTATTTAATTTTATTTTGATCTTATTAATAATATTTTTTAAAGAGTAACGTAAATATTATAATTTAATTTTTCATTCCGATATAATCCCAAGCGAAGACGCAGGAAGAAAGCTAGTACTTAATGGTTAATGTTTCGGACAATCAAGTGCCTTTTTTAAAATAGGGCATTATTTTCTTCCCTTCTCTAAGTTTTGGGAAGTCTTGGCGAAGTCTTGGCGGTTAATTTGACACATTTTTTCATGTAAACAACACACAAACGCTCTTTGTCGGGACACCGTTAGGACTGTAATTCACACCGTTCAAAAGTTTATAAAAGGTTGCTGCCCAGTCCTTTTTGAATTTGGAATCTTTTACATTTAGCTAGAATAAATAAATCACCGAAATCAATCCAAAATATCTTGATCGTTTTAGACGTTACATTACTACCTAGAACTAATAAATATTAAAGGCCCTTTCTTTCACTCGGAGAAGGTTTCACACCACGCTTGCTCAAGGCGGATTGGCGATTTCAAACTTATAATGAGAAATTATAAGTCCAGGTTTCCTCACGATGTTTTCCTTCACCGTATGCCAGTTGATTCTATATACTTAGTCGGGTCATAAGTTCTGTCACAAACTTTTGATGTAATAACTTATACGCCTTTTGACAATTATTTAAAAATTATATATGAAATGAAAGGTCATTAAATGTACAATATAATTTTATTTACATTATTCGAAATGCCCTCCCCCATTTTGAACACATGCCCTTAATCTACGCGGCCAGTCATCGATCGCTGCACGCACCACATTCATATCTATGTCTGCCGCTGCTTTAACCAGAGATGCTCGGAGAGACTCCAAATTCGGGTGAGGTTTAGCACAGACTTTTTCCTCCAAATATTGCCATATCTTGTAGTCCAGTGGGTTTAAATCTGGACTAGAAGAGGGCCAGTCTTCATGCCGGATGAAGTCAATTCCACGAGCGATCAACCAGTCTTGCGTACTTCGTGCCTTATGAGCCGGTGCAGAGTCCTGTTGGAATATCCAATGCCTGTTCCTGAACATTGTCTGAGAAAGAGGTTCCACTATGTTTGTTAGGACAGTATTTTGATAAACTTCGGCACTAGTTCTCACACCTTTTTCACAGAAAAACACCTCAGTTACGCCTGAATATGAGACTCCAAGCCAAACCATGAATGAGGAAGGGTAATGCCCACGCTGGACCCTCGCAATACGCGCGCTTGCTTCTTCACTGCTGTGGGCATACACCTTATCATTTTGTTTGTTAAAACTTTCTTCAATAGTAAAAATTTTTTCATCCGAAAAAAGAATTTCGCGGTATTTTTTTCCCGCGTACCGTCGTAGCAAAGCGCGGGATCTGTCTAGCCTAATTTTTTTTAAACGCTCGTTCAAAAAATGTCCTGTCTTTTTACGATAAGCTCGTAGTCCCAGGTCTTCATTTAGTACTCTTTTAACAGTGGTTCTGCTTAGCCCCATCTGCAGAGCTAGGATTTTTTGTTTACGTACGGGATTTCGTTCGATTCGCGCCTTCACTGCTTTGATGACCTTATGTGTCCGAACTGTGCGAGGTCGGCCGCTTCTCTTACGATCTTCGAAGCTTGACTCTTCGGTGTATCGTTTGATAGTACGATAAACAAACCGTAACGTTATTTTCAAATTTTGAAGAATATTGAAAATGTCTTTTGGCGCGTAACCACAGCGGTGCAACGCGATAACCGCGATTCTGTCTTCTTTATTCGACCACTCCATATTTAAAAATGAATAAAAAATAATTTCTTTTTTATTTTCTACAAGCGCGAAAGTTCTATTTTTAAAATAAGTCGAAGAATTTCTGGCCAGTAATCGAAAATTAAAAATATAAGGTTTTGACAGAACTTATGACCCGACTAAGTATAACCAATCATAGAAAGTACACATTACTCGGAAAAAGTCACATTAATACCATCACCGCGATTCTACAATTTATGATACATCTCAATCCTGTCATGGATGGATTAATGTCGTTTTTCGACGACATTGTAATGTTTTGTTGATCCAGAGTTTCTGCGATAAGATCGGTAATTTATTTTGGCCCTCAGTTAACTTTTGGTTGGCATGTTGGCGGCCTTAAAATAATCCTTCAACTTAATTATACTCATAAGCGTCGGATTCTTTCCCCTTTATGAGACCGTAATTTAACACTAAATGGGCTTATTAGCGTATGGTTATGTAGACCTAGACAGTTAACCATAGTTGACTATCGCAACCACTAGCCGTGGGTCAAGTTACAGGTTAAATCTCAATGATCTAAAAATTATGTAATTTTCGCACTTACATTGTTCAATTACATTACACCTTACTACCGTACATATTAACTCGAATAATTTAATTTACATTGATTGGAAATTACATATGAAGGTCATTACCAAAAAAAATTGTTTGCCTTTATGATAGCGCACTTACCCAACCGGTTCTGAAGTGCAGATGGCCATTACGCCCACGTATAATATTGACATTTCTTCGAAATTATTAAGGGCTCAATTTTCTGCATCGAACCTTTTAAGGACCGAAATTTGTAACCGATCCCAATCCGAATTTAATCCCAGAGATTTTGGACTAAGATCGGGTGTTGATTTCGACCGTTTTATGGGTAAGAGAAACTCATCATTTATTCCCCTTTTTCCAGATCCTCGGCCAAAGAAGCACGGACTATGACACCTGTAGAATGAAGGTCTTCCCCCCAGACAGTCAGGAATGTGGCGCCATGACTTTTGGCCCATTATCTCCGAACACTCATATTGGGGGCGTGACACTCAAACCTTACATCGTGACCATGCGACACAACACCTTCTACGTCAACCACACGGTCCTGAATATCACCTTCAGTAATATTAAATGGAAGAGTAAGTCTTAATAATCATTTCATATTTATTTTTCGCTAAAGACGCAGTGATCGGGCTGAGAGCGGCGCTAGTGTAGCTTTAAGTCTATTAACCAATAGTTTTTTTGTTAATACCAAGTATTTACTCAGTCTACTTCACTACTAAGTGGATGGGACTAAAAAGATCTAACGCCTTATTTGCGGCATATTGTGACCATATTCAAAAAACTTCATATCCTCATTACAAAGATGTGAATTTGAGAAGACAGATATAGTTAAACATGGTGTGACCATATCCAAAAAACTGCTCCTTTGTTACAAAACAAGATTTATCTTTAGTCTAGGTTTAAAAACTTGAATCAGGTTTTCTATTTTGAATCTTATTCTTACCTAACTCGACTTTAAAAAACAAAAACAGGTTTAATGGCTTAGACCTAGACTAAAGAAAAACTTTGTTTTGTGCTATGGCCGTAGGGTTTAGTTTTTATACTAGCTTCTCTCGCGCGGTTTCACCCTCTGCTCGGCTTCTACAGATGCGTGCGCATACAGGTCCTTAGCGTGATGTTTAACAGCCTTCCCCGATAAATGGACTAACGTACAAAATAATAATCGTTCAATTCGGACCAGCAGTTCTGGAGATTAGCGCGTTCAAACAAACTCTTCAGCTTTATGATATTAGTATAAGCAGATTGCGAAGCCTTTATAGTACGCTGCACAAATGCAGCATCGTTAATGCATTATTATTTACTTTAGATGACGCATTGCCACCGAATAAAAACATGTCAGTACTGACATTATAATGACATCTCCCACAGGCCCAAATACATTAGGACTCCAATGTAGTCAGCACTTACGTGATGACCTTAGTCATTGTCTGTAACAAACTACATACATTCCTTAATTTGGATTAAGGTATAAGTTACCTAAATATATTCTAGAATGATTTTCAAATGCGGGAGCTACACTATGTTACTGGTTGGTTCAATTGGTGTGACGAAACCAGCGTGACAAAACGCTTGCAGTCTGCGTCTTGTGTTTTATCTCATTTAAAAATAGAATAATTTTATTTTTAAAAACGATTTACTAACGTAATTTGACTGAGAGAAGCTCTACTAGTTTCAAGTTACAATGGGACTCTTATTTATAAGAACCATGCGCATCGCGTCGATATCGCGTAATTGAAACTGGTAGCTTTTCTTAGTTACCTCACGTGAGTCGTTATTTTCAATAAACTTAGCATACTAACAACCGGTTTCTGAAAGGCTTGTCAACGCTAAAATTAACTAATCTCCTGTTAAATCTCTTTTCAAGTTATCTGATTGGTTGTTGATAATTCAGTCAACCAATCAGATGACAAGAGATTAAATTGATTTTAACATTGATCGGCCTTTCGGAACCGGGTGTAAGTTTCAATAAACTGATCTTACGATGTATATTTATAAAAAACATAATAGGGTAGCCGGATAGGTTACCTACATGATATCTTTAAGATAATGAGGATATTAAGTTGTCAGAATCAAATTAATTTGTTCAGTACGGCTTTGCAGATATTTATATCTATCTATGAGAATTGCGCAATTCAATTTTATCGCATGGTCGAATTCTGTTCTGTGCGTCATTACGCACAATGCTTATTTTGTTATTGAAAGGATTCACCCAACTGATGATGTGATTTGAATTGACAATTTGTCGACTCAAGTATCTATCAGTCAATGAAACCAGTAAATGTTTCTTATAGACAGACGTTGCAATAAGTTTTTTTTATGTAAAAGACCGGCGAACGAGCAGACGGATTACCTGATGGTAAGCAATCAGCTCCGCCCATGGACACCCGTAACAGATTAGTTACGAGTGCGGTGCCTACCTTTTGGGGATTAGGGAATTTGGAGATTTAGGGATTGGGGGAGGGGAAGGATTGGCCATCCGGTAACCTCACTCACACGGCGAAACACAATGCTGTGGTTGTTTTACGCTGGTTTTCTGTGAGGCCGTGGTATTACTCCGGTCGAGCCGGTCCATTCGTGCCGAAGCATGGCTCTCCCACACTTATAAGTTGCTCTAATTAGTTACCAGAGACTGGACTAATCTCCGCTGTGGCCTCTAAGCTAAGGCCCAGACAGGGCAACAAAATCTAGTAATAAAATTGCTTGGATCAGTTTCAAAATTTGAATTTATTAATGATATCTGAAAATATAGATAAAAATAAAATGTAATTAGTGTGTATAAGTTGTTTGTCAAAATTATTTGTCAATAGCTTTTGTTACGTTTCTTACAAGTGGTTAAAAATTTGGCCTCTGTTCAGCCGTGGATGGTATTTGATCAGCCTGCCAAACTATGTAAGGATAAAGTTACGCCATAATTTTGCAGGTTTCATTCGGTAAAATTACATAGGCACGATTACGTAATGCTTGCATTAATTCGACACGCAAGGATAGATAAATAGTGCGATCGCATTTTATAATTTTCTCTGTATTCACTTACGTCATATCTCTGTTATTGATGTAGGTTTAAACTGGATTTAGGGACAGCGAAATGCGTATTTTTTCTGATTGACACATCCCCAAGAAAAAGCATTAATACCTATTAAATTTTGTGGTCCCTGGTTGTCTGTCAACAAATGAGTGATTTTCGCGAAACTTTTTGCCTCGCACAACAAAACTGGAATGCCAAAAATAAAAGGCCGGCAACGCGCCTGTTACTCTGATGTTGCAGGTGTCTGATCGAACGAACCTACGGATCAGGTGTCTGATCCATAGGTTCGTTAGCCTCTTATTCCATGAAAAAAACCTTTAAATCCTTTGGTGTGTATTAGAAGACGCCCTTGATTCATCATTGAATGTCATGCGACCAAAAAAACGAGTTCTACTGTTTTGTTTATAGATTCTTCAATTTATCATTATTACTTTTCCATCATTCCGATTGCGCTAACAGTCCAAAAGTAAAAACCGAAAGCAGACTAGAAGAGGTAGCTTGGGCAGGTGAACTGATAACATGTTAGAGTCATTGGATACATGTGGCGAGTTTCGCGAGGAGGACCAAAAAGGCCCTTATTCAGCTTGGAACGTCTGCCGGTTGATAAAAATGTTTACACGTAAAAACTGACGGTCTGCTGTAGCGTTACATCACGGTTGCAATTCAAATATCCCTGTAGTTTTTTTTCTCTCTCTCTCTTTCTCTCTATCTCTTTCTCTCTAATACAAACTCGTTGTTAACAGATGACAAAATAGAATGACTATTTCAGACGCTCTGACGTCAGCGATAACATTCATAATATTGTTTTGTTTGTTTAGGTAGTTAATACTTTTTACGATTGAGTGAATTGTTATAGATCCGTCTCTTGCATATTTTATCAGTGCAAATAGAGATCGAGTCTGTTATGTCACACGGACGGATTTACACAACGCTAAGTTTATGACGGTACGAACATGTGGAAATTTGTTGGAAATTAAAGCGCTTGCACATTGGGATTTCTTAAAAAAAACCAATGTCGCACATTTTAGATTGGAGTGTGGGCGGACCATGATTTGGCACGAATCAACCGGTTCGATTGGAGTGATACCACGGTCACAGAAAACGGGCGTGAAACTGCATTGCGTTTCGCCTTGTTAGTGAGGTTCCGAACGCCCAAACCTTACCCCATCCCTCAACGCACTTCCAACCATTCCACCGGGATTGCAGAGCAAGCGCAAGGTTTCGCGTCCTCGACACACTCTCTCTCTCTTTCTCCTTCTTTCCCTGGGCGAGAGAACAATGATGATTGTTTCCCCCCAAAAAAACCTAGTGTTATGAGTGTCATAGGCGACGCTGACTGATTATTATCTGATGATTGTTGCCGTAGGTTCGTTTGCCACCGTATCTTATTAAAAAGTCTGATAAAAAAACGTCTATTGTAACTATTGGATTCAGTTTATTTTAATTAATAAGTCCAATTAAGTAAGATTTCTTAAGAAAATATTGACTACAGAACGAAAAACAACAACCTCACGCCAAGCGGCAGAAAAAACGAAACTTTTTAATGAACTTGTCATGTATGACAAAAGAGGTCCTATTATAAAATTTTTAATTAAACAGTAACCCATGTGTAGTTATTAATTCATTGTTCGAACCCAGACCATCTAACTAAGTAGCTGGCCATGCGAATAGATTAAATAGGCATTCAAACGTGCTCAGCACAATAATAACTGCACTTATCAATAGACATGACATCATAACGCTTTATATAATTACGACCTACATAAATATACGTTTTATATGTATTATGTTTATTTTTAGTCTTTCCTACATTTGTTGGCAAAAAGTTTGTAATGTATTTTGTTTTTTTAGCGGGGATTATCGTCTAGGTATTGTTAAATGACTTCTCTTGCCCCTTTTTTGTAAGGCGAACATCATTAAAGGACTTCTTCCTCCCAGGGATCGGCGGGAGGGAGTGTCAGACTCTTAATTAAAAAAAATTAAAAAAAAAAAAAAAAAAAAAAAAAAAAACGTTGCCCCACACTGGGATTTTCTCCTGTGTCGTGGGTGCGTTTACAAACATACAATTTCACATGCACGTCACACCCAGACCCGGAACAACAATCTGTGGATCACACAAAGAGTTGTTCCGTGCGGGAATCGAACCCGCGACACGTTGCGCGGCAGCCAGTTGCCCAGCCACCATGACTAAATACGCCCCCGTTCCTTCTCTTGTAAACATAACATAATTACTCCAAATAGTCAAAGAGATCTCACGACGGTTTCCCGGCAACGAAGTTTTCATCGATATAGATAAATGAATTAAGTCCAAACACGAGGTAGTTACTGTAAACCGTTCAGGAGTTCACTGAGCTGTCCTTATATAGGTAATAAATTTTCTTGTGTTAAATTCATGTTGAGGTGACACAGACAATTTTCAGTTTGCCGCCAAATCGAAAAACAAATGACAAATGAATGAAATAATATATTCAGTAATATATGCAAAAAGTTCTATTTTCAAATTTTAGAATTATTGTTTTAAGAACTTTCAGTTTGACCCTCGTACCAAAATTTTAAATCAACCACCAGTTATTGTGAAGAGGTAAAATTTGTAAGTTTGTATTATTATTTAGGGGTTTATATTAGTATTATATTATTTAGGGGGTTATCTTTAGAATCGCTGGTTGAATTCCTATATTCTTTCACTGATAGATAGCTACAATGTTCCTGAGCGATTTTATTCAGTCGAGCTATTGCTTATACGCTGTTGCAGCCGCGGGCGGATAAAAATATCAGATTAAACAGTAAAGAGAAAATATGAAGGTACAATTAAAAAAAAAAGTTTTAGTATTCATTAGCGGATAAATTATACAGAGCGGATATATATATGTACATAGTTTTACCTCTATCTAACCGTGTCTTTCATAAGTTCTTCACAGCATCGCTTAAGGCATTAGGACAAAAGTTTAGCTGTCATTATTTAAAAATTATGCATCTTCGTTTAGTTTCCTTGTATTTTATGACTAACATTTGTCTTATAAAAACCAGACTTAAAAATATATTGCAAATAAAATCTTGTTTAGGTCAATCTTAAAAGTACAAGTCACTAATATTTTATTTAAATTTGAATAGTATTTATGTGAGTGTATAAAATATGTGTGTTATTGGAAATATCTCGATTTAGATTGCTTCTTGCCCACCGGTGACTCCTCCCTTCATCACCCAAAAGTTCGACTGGCAGGGTATGCCTATGGCATATATGGTCGACTTACTACCTCGTTCATAAATTTTGGCGCAAAAGTTTAAATTTTTACTTTTCAAAAAAGTTTAACTTGGTCAAAAAATAGTCGCGTTAAGCCAAAAAGCCTCACAGAAAACCGGCGTGAAATAACAGAGTTGTGTTTCGCCGTGTGAGTAAGGTAACCGGAAACCCAATCTTTCCCCTCCCCCAATCCCTCCTCAATCCCTAAATCTCCAAATCGCTAGTCCCAAAAGGTCGGCAACGCTCTCGTAACTCCTCTGTTGCGAGTGTCCACGGGCGGCGCTGATTGCTTACCATCAGGTAATCCGTCTGCTCGTTTGCCGACCTATTACATAAAAAAAAGGAAATGGCGAGATGAATTTGACGTATGTCACGACCACGGAGTAAGAACAAAGAGGAGACGGCCTAAGCAACTCGGCCCTGTGACACAAGTCGGCCCTCACGTCATCAATGTGGGCGTGGCTTACGTCAGTGTAATGTGGTCGTTCGTCCTGTGCACAACTCCTATAAAATATTCATTTTACTCGTGACAGAAGAAAACAAAATGAAGTCTAGTGTTTTATCTTGTAAAAAATACTATGATAAACGTTATGGATGGCATCACTTTTCATGTATAAGTTATTTTATTCGTCATTTATTAAAATAGTTCTAGCAAAGTCTCTTATTGTCAGCGTTTCCAATTATCAATCTACGCGACTCTAGATGTCGACACTGTGTATCATAGAAACAAAATTTTTATCGGTACGCATAGTTCAGTATTACTATATTTTAACGATCGTTTGTATAGTAATTTGATCGACATGCATTCCTAAAGATCCTTTAATCGCCAAAATATTATTTATGTAACTTTTATATAATTTTATAAACAGACAGCCATCTATTGTCAAGTAGTAAAACATAAATAAAGACAGGGTAGTAATTAGGAGTCAATTACTTTTTAAGGTTTATATCGTTGATTTATTTAAGTCGCGAATGGAATCACTCAAATTTAGCGCACCTCACCGCACGCTGTGAGTGCTAAATCTTAGTGCCTGAGTGTTTGAAACTGAACGACCTTATTTATACTTCTAAAGTTCCTCTTCGGTTTTTATTTCAACCCCAAATTAAGGGCATCAGGACTTGGATCATACAACTCAGATATGTATCGCCGGTAAGCCTATGAAATGCCCACAACATACTCTGTCCTTCGTACATATCATTCGTTCCATTGTTCGTTTATTTCGAAATATGTCGTCACATTAGGGCAGGTTTTGTTCGTTTTTCATGGTGAATAGTACCTATGACAGTCGTGAAGATAATTAGGATGTGTTATATATGGCATTTCGCATTAGGATGTGTTATATATGAAGAATCTGGCGGTATTATTAACTTTGGAATAGCATTTAACATACCACTAGTTAATTAAGTGTAATGTTCGTTATTGTTCCAAAATATTGTTGAGTTATTGTTTTGTGTTTTTATGATCCAAAATATTGTTGAGGTAAAACCGGCGAACGCGTAATGTAAATTAAGACGATTGCTGTTAAATTATTAGAAGGTGGTAGGACCGCACACTCTTTATTAGCATTGCTATTGAATGTACAGGTGATTTAAAGTGCAAATTGTAATATTTCGAGAACTTCTGCTATGGCAAAAGTTTTGCAACTAACGTCAATTCTTTTATGGGATGCACACATACAATGGCGAATAAAAAATCAATAGAAGTATTTAATCGAACCATGCAAAATTTACGCGGTACTCAACGGGTTTTTCGTGGTGCTCTGATATTGCTGTCAGGGGGCTTTCGTCAAACATTGCCTGTCATTCCTCGATCAACTCCTGCTGATGAAAAATTTGTTTGAAGTCATCAGTTATTTGGAGATATATACGAAAATTGACACTGAACTTTAGTAACAATGTGTATTCAGCTACGTAATGATGCAAGTGCCCATGAGTTTTCAAAACAATTTTTAGAAACTAGCTTTTGCCCGCGACTTTGTTCGCGTGGAATAGTGAATTCCTGTAGATTTTGGGTTTAAAAACTATCCTATGTCCTTTCTCGAGTTCCAAACTATGTCTGTACCAAATTTCACTCAAATAGGTTCAGTAGTTTAGGCGTGACGAAAAGACAGAACATATCTAACAATAACACTCGTTATCACAAAGAACCAGTTATCAGCAGGGCATCAGCCTCTTGGTAGCATTGTATACGAGTTTCTGCTTCAGGCTACGCCCGTACCTACCGAAATAACCCCTTTTAAATGAAAAAGATGGTTTTGATAATTGTAGAATGATTCTCATTCACCAATAATAGATATTTTAGATATTTATTACTATTTCGATAAAAAAAAATGCGTATCAAGATGATTCGCAATTAATGTATTTACAAAAAACTTTTTAAAACAACTCCCCGGTAAATTCAAGTACGACCCTGTTGCGTTAGTGACATCTATTGTGAAATAGTTAAATAACTACAAACAGAAGTAAATTGAATGAGCGAGTAGTATTGCTATAGACCGGCAGATGGCAAATAAAAAAGTGGGCGGAGTCTAATACCCCCTCACCCCGCAAAATATCACGCGGTGTGTCTTAGGGAAATCTTATTATGACATCTCCTCTTTGTTCTTACTCCGTGGTCACGACAATAGTCAGCTGCAGAAGTACATACGCTGCATGGATACTAGGAAAGGGCCAGATCAAGGTGAAGGAAGGTACCGAGGTCTTTGCCCTACAGGGGGACAAGGCTTAAAATAACAAAAAAAAAATACTGAAGGTCTGTTTCTAAATATGTATATTTTTTTGTCCAGTCTGTTGTGAGTTTTTATAAGACCCTGCCTTAAATACATAACGAGTTTGTTATTTTTTTCACCAATACCCATAAAAAACTAAACTTTATTCAAGCACTGTGTGTAAAAATGTAAAAATACAGGACTTAAGGTACACCTAAAATTGTGTATTTATGTTGACACGGGACTGTATGTATGCTTATGCTCATAACAAAGAAGTTTTAACTGCGTTGCGTTCATCTCCGTAATGTATCGTAACTGCGTTAAAAATTAATTGAAAATTTACATTTTCAAATTTGACGATGTCGTTAGAAGTCAGTATTTGATTTGACTAAATGTTACTATGTCTCATTTTGTTAGTTTTTCTGTGCATTAGCAAAATTTTTTAAATGTACTTGTAAATAATACTTTATGAATAAAGTATCGGCAGAAGTCCAGTCGATGAAAATTTAAGCTTAATATTTCTAGCTGGATATAGGTTGCAATCTACTTATTTAATAATCATTGAAGGTTTTGTGCCTACCATGATTAACAGCGAAAAGGTTTTTAATAAATCAATGTTCTTAACTTATTAAAAACAACGACATACTCACGTGATGAAATCGAGGAAAGCTCAACTAGTTTCAAATCACAATGGGACTTTTATTCATGAGTAGTGGGCGCATTGAAACGAGTGGAGCTTACTTCTGAACACTAAATCTTATTGTATTACTCATATTTGCTTTATACCCAGTTTGAAATCGACTTGAAACTGGTATAGCTATTCTCACTTTCTTCACTGGGTAAATCGTTATTTATTTATTCAAATTCATTTTCTCTTTCAGCCATGAAGTTCAGATTTCAAGACAAGTATAGAGAGACTAAGAACCACTGCAGAACTATAACCATATCGAACGACATCACAATTGACGACGAATCCGTGCTGTTCTACGACTGTTACTGGCCGAAGACTGACGATAGAGATGGACAGAGCCATACCTTAGACTTCGAAGCTGTAGCTGACGACAAAACTGTTAATAGAGGGAAATATTACTTCAATATTCCCTCCGCTGAAATGCTTAGTAAGTATAAATATTATTTTATCCGACGTTACCCCACACTAGGATTCTCTCCTATGTCATTGGTGAGTAATATATGATTTAGTGTACACATTACACCCCGAACAACATTGTGTACATTGAGGCACATTTCCATATGTTTTTTCTATGTGATAGGACGGCAAACGAGCTGATATTATTATCTGATGGTAAGTTATCACCGCCTCCCAAGGACACCCGCAACAACCAGCTTCGACCTTGTGGGGATTAGGCATTTGGAGTTTTTGAGATTGGTTGAGGGGATTGGGCCAGCGGTAACATCACTGCGAAGCACATTGCTGTGGCTGTTTCAAACCGATTTTCTATCACTCCGGTCGAGCCGATCCATTCGTGCCGAAGCATGGCCCTCCCACACATATGTAGATAAGGCTCATTATAAACCATTGAATTTCGTGTTTGCACCTAAACTGCTAAGTGCCTCGATTACGATATTTAGTAACCAAAGTATGAGTTTATCGCATATATAATCTGATTCAACGCAAATTCTTTTCAGGTTTGACAACAACAGAAGATAGATGGAAGCCATTTATTTACATAGAAATCTTTAACAGTATAATGCGCCTCCATATAATGCCGCCTCCTCGACAGTTGAAAATAAACGCCTACCGTATCAGGGTTGTCACTCTAGGTGGCAGACGGGACGTCCAGTCTTCTAGAGTACCGCTAAATAATAATACTGAAGAAGTGACCTATGACTATAACTTTGTCGGTATGAATGGGTCCGTTAGCTTCGTGGTGACACCCCTGCATGATCAATGTGAGATGGAAGGTCTTGGATGCACGTCTGTCGAAAGTCCAAGGATTAAAATAAGTGAGTATTTTTCCAACTTCTCATATTCTTACTAGTTACTGTCCCGCGGTTTCACCCGCTACTCGGCTCCTGCATATCGTAGGGTAATGTTTTATAGCCTATAGCCTTCCTCGATAATTGGACTAACAAACATAAAAAGAATTGTTCTATTCGAAGCAGCAGTTACGGAGATTAGCGTGATCAAACAAACAAACTTTACATACAGCTTTATAATATTAATAAAGATTTAGTTACTTGAAACCAGTAAAATGTCTTTTTAATTTTAATATATAGCTTTATCACATCAACTTTTTAGGTTTTAAAAAGAATTCTTTTTACAAAAGGTTTTTTTTCTTGAACATATTGTTTTGATCTAAAGTCTACCAAAATCAATATACATATAAGCAAAGATTTCTTTGTTTGAGGAAACGTTTTGAATAAATAAAAAAAGGTTTTAATTATTATTATCGCTCATAACTCATAACATATTTTAGTCTAACCAAAACAAGACTTGTTTAAATCATAAATAACAATTTGTAACCTTTAGTTCGAGAATAACAAATAAGATTAGGTACATTAATCAAAAATTAATTAAATTTAAATTATTATGGAATAGTCGATAATAAGGACACGTCTAAGTATAAACAGAAATTATTGTTAGGAAGGTTATCGCTTACGTACAACAAACGATACAATATTTGGAGTCCAACATCTTCCAAACGAATTTAAATGAAACTTGGAACATGTACGTAATCTATACTATTATTATTAATATTATAAAGCTGAATACAGGTTTGAATTGAACAATTTTTTTTGTTTGTTAGTCCATTCATCGCGGAAGGCTTTAAGCTAAAATATCACGCTACGACCTGTAGGAGTAGAGCAGCGGGTGAAATAGTACGAGATTAGCTAGTATTTAATATAACCTCTTGGTAACACTCAGAGAGGGGAGGGGGAGTGGTAGGATTAGTCAGGGTTGCTCTTGAGTAGGTCAACGAACAGTCAACAAAACCCTGACACTCAACTCTACATAGGCCGGGAGAAGTCATAAGAAGATTTCCCTACATAGAAAAACAATTGGCGGTAGGAAAGAATTTTGAAGTCTAACCCCCGGTTTCTGAAATGCCGATCAATGTTAAAATCAATTTAATCTTTTGTCAAGTCATCTGATTGGTTGACTGAATTATCAACAACCAATCAGATGACTTGACAAAAGATTTAACAGGAGATTAGTTAATTTTAGCGTTGACAAGCCTTTCAGAAACTGGGTGTAAATGACTAACTAGAGTTGTATTTATAATAATATCGTGTTATTATGTTTGTTTACACGTTCAATACGAATACACGGTTGGCACGGTCGCCGGATAACTGGCTGCCGTGCAACGTACCGTGGGTTTGAATACACAAATGAAAATAAGAATTTATGTCTATTGTTTTATTTTTCGAGTTGATTAGGTATAAAAAAGTTCTGATAATACGGTAGGTTAAAATATTTGACGACTAGTCACATTCACAATACTTTTATCGAAATGTCGTAAAAGATAACCTTTCTTTTAATTTTGTTTGAGATACATCGATCACTAATAAAGAACTAGATACACAATCCCATACAAAAGTTCGCTTCAAAACTGTCGCCAACTGTATTTAGGTACTTATACTTGAAATAAACATGCATTAATGTAAATTAAACCTTAAATGCAACTCATAGAGTTGTTTTTACAAAGTGATGTACAAAATCTTAATATTTTTTGCGACCGAAGCTCTTGACAAACATAAATCATAAGAAATTGAATCATATTCGCATGTTTATAAGTCGAATTTACAAAGTGTCAAAAATAAGCAATAAAATTTAACGACTTCGGCTCACCGCTAGGACAAAGAATGATTGAAGTCGAAATGTGTCGTAAGAAATATATTTCTTTCGTATTTTATAATTTATCAAAAAAAGAAAATACGCAAATTAAAACGCATTACTTATAGTATTCTTTTCTATAGGTTTGTTCATTTATTTACCAATGAAACTAATGCATATAGTTATAATTTTTTTTATTATTTTCGTCCTCCTTAATCCTTTCTATTCGAAGTCAAATAAAAAAGATGTAAAATAATAAAAAGAATATATATCTAAAGTAAGTACTGAAAATGTTGGCGTTATTGTTGTCAATTTTTCATATCGCACGGGTTTTGATGAAAACTAAAAAAAAATTTCTTTACTGCAGTTAAAATTAAATCTATTATATCTGCCTATTCCATATTTTAATAAACACAGGAAAGAAGTATAATATTAAATAAAAACTATTTTTTAATAAAAAAAACAATAAATAAAATTAGAAACAATAGCGTCTCCACTAAACGGAACAGAATCAATCCACGTAAACCGAACAACTTAAGTGGTCATGCTAGAGAATGATTTTACGTTTAGTATAAGTGTCTTTATAAACTGTGTGCATTATAACCCCGGTTTTGAATACGATTTAATTTGGAAAAAGTTTTAAAGTTGATTTCTTAATAAAACATCAATATTTAAAATAGAATGATGACAATTATATAATGATAATATTATTACTTAACGAAAATATGAAATTCCATCCTTTTTTGCGTCTTAGATGTGTGTTTTTTGCAGTTTTTAAACGAGCACTGAGGCGTGTTTACCGTCGGAGCATTCGAGTGGTACTAAACTAAAACTACACCGCGATGTTGAGTTTGGTGGACTTTCAGTTAGGACATTTTTTTGTCACTGATTGTGTATCTAGTTCTTTATTAGTGATCGATGTTGAGATACATAGACTGATGTCGTCCTGTTTTTGAGTCAAGTATAACTGTTTACTTTTTTTTTAATTGGCTTTTAAGTATGAAGTATCTTAGAGAATAAAAGTGAAGTTGTTTCTATGCCATGGCAAGCGCGGATCCAGCCTTCAAAAAAGGTTGTGGTCACAGCTACTAGAAAAACAGGCTAAGTACGAGTCGGAGCATGGACATGCTCATTAACAATCATGCAAATCGTTTATGAACTTATGAATTAGATTTCCTTTTTTCTGAGCATCAGGACTTAAGCCTTAGGAAGAAGTAGGACACGATTTCTTCTAATTTCTAATAGTCAGTTTCGATCTAAACCTATTTCAATCACAAGTGTAATTAATAAGGTTGTGGGCATGCCCATCGCGCCCACAACGGTGGATCCGCCCTTGTGCTATGGTCTAGCGGTAAAGGTGTACGTAAAGGTAAACAATATTGGTATGTTCTTTTTTATATTAAAGAGGTCGTATAAAGTGCACACAAAGATTATTTTAATTTAAGTTATTAGCTAGCATAGTTCAAATAAATATTTGATTTTAAACTTTTTTTACATTAAATTTTTAACAAGACTTTTAGACAATATTAACTTTAAAACTTTCGCGTTTCATTCAACACCTTGGAGGTGTTTAAATAATTACTTTTCCCGTTAATACAAGTATACGTTCAAATTTTTGACAAAAAGACATGCCAAGTTTGTTTACACTTACTAATTACCTAAACTGATATATATTATGTATTTTAGATATATATTTTGTTTCATTTGAGAACTGGGTAGTTTCCTAGGTCAACAATAAATTATTTCGACGTTTCAATGCAATAAAATATTGAAAAATAATTATACTTTTATTCATCCATTGATCGACACACTGAATTTTAAATATTTATTAGCCAATTTTTTAAAAATAAGTAAATTATTTGACGCAAAAAAACTATGACGTCATAGTTTTTTTGCGTCATATTCAAATTTCATAGAAAAGTATCGTTTTTGACATTTGGATAAAAGTATTGAATTTGACTAGTTGGAAACTACCGTATTGAAACGACTGCTATTTTTATTGTCCCGTAAAATTACGGCACTAGCGTTTAATGGTCTGTGGTTTCTGTGGTCTTTTAAACAATAACTGACTGTAAAACATTAACATAATAAATTCATTTTAATATATTTCTAGACAATGCAAGCCTCCATACTGGTACACTTAGGGCCTATTTTACGATAATAAATTTGTATTTATATAGTGTACTTTGTATGCTTAATTAATATGTGCTACTAGCGACTCGTCCCGGCTCCAAATTCCTCCACTATTTAATGGATGTTATTTATCTATCTATATAAAAATCAATGCCACTTTTCGTTTTTATGTTATAACTTAACAATGCCTTTACCGATTTGTCTAATTTTGGTCTTGTATTATTCGTGGATGTCAAAAAAAGTGTAAAATTGACATCCACGCCGGCGGAGCCGCGGGCGACCACTAGTTACTTATAAACATTTCTCTTCAATATCTCTATCTATTTAAAAAAAACCCTATCATAATACGCTGCTTTATTTTAAAGATGTAACCATACAAGAGTAGCGACAGCAAAGCAATTTTTTATAAAAATAATTAGATTCCTACTGAATAAAAACCCCTCCGTTCCTTCCCCTGCTCTAGGCCGAGGCCGCGGTGCCTTATTTCGCTTGTCCCGAAACCCCGGCAAGTCTGGGTGGTTTGTGTATATGAATTTGTATGTTTGTAAACCACGACATAGGAGAAAATCCTAGTGTAAGGCAAAGTTTAATAAATAACTATATGAGGTTAAAATTGTCCCTTCCAGGCAGTGAACCTCAAACGCTGAACATCTGTATCGCGAGCATCACGGCTTTGATCGTGGCCACTCTGTTCGCGTATTACATAGTGCTGCGGCTGATGAGACGTTACTGCTGCCACGATAGATATAGAGAGGAATTGCGTAAGTACAGCAATACTTTTATTCAATTTTCTGTAGCAATATATCTTATAATTTAGCCTTTAAGTGCCCACTGCTGGACAAAGGTCTCTAAGCATTAATTAAGGCTATGAGCATTAATCATCACGCTTTAAGTTCATCAGATATAAGCAGTTTGAAACATACATACCTATATGTAATTAGAAATTACTAGTTCAATTTTCCTCTCGATTTTTTTTTCGTATGATACATGCAGGCTACCTGATGGTAAGCAATCGGCGCAGCCCTTGGACACCTGTGGTGAATACCAGGACAGGAATTGAAGGAAGAGAAGGATTGGGCCTCCTGTATCCTCATTAAAACGACGAAGCACAATGCTGTTTTGGGTTGTTGGTTGTTTTAAGCCGGTTTTCTGTGAGGCCGTGGTCTCGTATCACTCCGGTCGAGCCGAAACAAACACATAATTAGTAGTTAGATATTTTTCTTTACACTACTTTTTGTCAATGTCGGTCATTGACAAACAGTAGTGTTTAAATTAATCTTAGAAATTAAATATTTTGACCATTGACACAGTTTTCTGTTAATGCCCCAAAATTTTGTATCTTACTTACTTTTAGCGCCTTATACACTTTACTTCCATTAAAACTCTCAATTTTATTTCCAGCCCTGATGATACCGACGCCACCGAAGATCTTGGTAGTATACTCCCCAGCGAACCGTCTCCACGCGGAGTGCGTAATGTCGTTCGTCACGTACTTGCGGTCGGAGTATGGCTTCGATATTATGTATGACGGAGACATATCCTCCACTCTTAAAGACCCCTACAACTGGGCGCAGAAGGCATTTGAGCTAGCCACGCACGTACTCTACGTCGTCGGGCCCGCCAAAGAAGCAAACTCCTTCAAAAACATCTACGATGATACAATAATAAGTCCCCTACAAAACGTCGATGTCCTACTTCTGTCGTTCGTAAGAGCCAACAGAAGCACTAAGGAAGTCATCAACGTAATGTTCGATCATTCCAACGGCGAAGTCCCCGAGGAAACTAAACATGCCAAGACATTCGTTCTACTCAAAGATTGGCAGAAACTGATATCATATCTGTCCAAAGACTTGCTCCCTAAAGTTCATATAATGCGGTCCGAGAAAGGTAAGCGGTTCTACGAGGATTTGAACAGGGCTAAGAAGCTGTTGGGCGCCAAGAACGACGAGGTCAGCTTGCAGTACGAGAAGGTAAAGAATTTTGAAAAGAAAATTTTGGTGTAAATTGTCACAAGGTTTTGGGCACAGGAATTAATGCGGTTGGAAGCGTGGCGGGGCAATATCGAGATGTTTATTAAACTTGCGTTTCATATATTTATTCCGTTTTAAGTAAATATGTATGTATGGTTGGTATAAGTTACGGAAGTTGTAGAAGTCTCGGCTTGTACAAGCCCCGCCCACCGAATCCTGCGCATGAGGGTAGAAACATCTTCGTTGGACGTAGTACGTAAATTGAACGTGGAACTACGGATTATATGTCGTCTATTGATTGTAACCGTACTGAATGTTTAGTATTGTTGTGTTGGGACTAAATAATAATATGGAAAATTAAAAAAAAACTTAGTTTTATAAACAGGCTTAATTTAGGATGATATGAAGAAGTTTATGAAAAATATTAAAAAAAGTTAAATGTTATATATCCACAATAGGTTAAGTACTAATATTATTATTATTATTTAGTCACAATCTCTAATGAAATATTTTTCGATTGAAATCTTCAGAATGTTTATTAAGTGTTACGTATAATAAGACAAGATATAAATTGAATTTGATAATATATTTATCCGACTAATTTAAAGAAATGATACGAAAACAAAATACAAAAAAATAATAATAAGAGCGGATACGTGGCTCCAGAATAAATAGGAATCATTAAATGATTATATTTTTTATTCTGTCAACGTATTTTAATGTTAGATTCTGTTGCGATTGAAGGCGTCACTGTTAGATGTATATCTGTCTCTTTCTCGCACACAGATTGTAAATAACGCTGTCTCGCAACGATGTCTTTCTAACAAGGAATACGAAATTTTTCAAATTGGACTACTCATTACTTTGTTTCGAAATTGAAATCTAGATATTAATTTATTAACTGAACGGAGTTTGAGTTCTAAGGAAGGAGTACTGAACAAATATTTTGTTGGACAAATAAAAATATATCTAGTCACAGATGTCGAAGGAAAGTAGCTCTTATAGCTGAAATCATAAAAGCCAAATTTCACGTTTTAATACTCAATACCAAAGATGGGCAAATTAAGTTTCAATTTCGAAATATCGACCTTGAGTAGAAGGGAATAGGGTCGCAATCCCTATATACCTCTTCCGGATTCATAAATATTTTTGTGGTTATTTATAACTGTTGTCTATCCCAGTACGATGCATATCTAATTGCTTTTAGTTATAAGTATTTTTATAATTACAACTTTTTTATGTTTAATTTTTTTAATGGCATTATAAACTTTTTGAACGTCGGTCCTGTATCCCACCAGACTTTTGCGGACTTTTTTATCTGTTGTATAGAAATAAAGTACCATAAATACTTCCTAGGTGTATATTTTTTGCGTTTTTTTTTATAACACAGCTTCATGGGGAAATAGACATGGAAAATTAAACCTTATTGCTGCTTTACTAACGAATGGAATTGGCGTTCAAAAAGTAAAACATCTTTTACTAACATGAGTAACTTTTAGATGTTCATTTTCTTTGTTAACGTTTTTAAATTCATTGCATATCTTATTATCGATGGCGGATTAAATAATTTAAGAAAGTAATTGGTACTTGGAACTTGTGTAAAATTTTCTCTCTTTGAAGAGAATTTTCCGAATTTTTCTCTTTAAATTTGGTGTGCCATAAACTTCACTGAATCGGTGTGGTTTCTTCTTGTAAATGTCGGTGTTCAACCACAATATGTTTACACTGCACTAAATAACTGGAGTGATTACCTATTTACTTATTATTTATATAAAACTATTTTTCAACACACTTCCCCATAAAGTGACTCTAATCCCACGGCAATTAGGCACTGTCGTTATGACACCTATAATTAATTAATATTATTCACGAGTTAGTAATAGTATATAGTATAGTCTTTTAATTTTTTTATTAAAGTTACACTTCCTCTAAAATGCTTTCCGCGAAAAACAAAAAAAAAACTCATTTTTAGTCTATGGCCGCTGCGCGCGCGCATATGAAAGTTATTAATTTTTCGCGCCATTACGAAACATTTTTTATCTTCTATGTAAAAAAAGTTTTTATTTAAGTTTTACTTTATTCGGAAGTGTGTTGAAAAAGGTCGTATGATATATGTGTGTGTATTGGTGATTACCATCCACGGCTCCTTAGCAGTAATCACCAACTTTACACACTTGTATCATAGTGTACTATTATAATTACAAGTACATTATATGAAATGATAAAAGTGATATAATTATAAAAAAGGCGCACAACTATCGCATAAAACTTTTCTACGGTCTTTTATACCGCCTGTATAATATACAGGGTGTTGCAAGTATACAATATTAATATTTAGTTTTTTTTTACTTAGGGCTGATTTTTCAATAGTCAGATAAATGTTGTCTGAGGAATGAAATTGTTGCTGTCACTGTCTTATACAAACATTCTGACGCGACAGCATCATTATTATTTCCAGGTAACTTTTATCTAACCATTGAAAAGCCTTTGGAATCTTTTTTGCATGTTCTGAAAACTAAAGATATGCAATCTTATGAATTTCATTGAAACTGATTTTAGGGTTGATGTGATATGAACTCTTTATATCCTTGAACGCTTTTTACTGCTTATGTTTTTCTATAATAGTAATGAGTTTTTCATTCCTAAAAATAGACGGAATAAGCAAAATATTTTTCTTTTTATTAAAGATTTTCCATTGCAATCTTTCGCTTAGTATTGCTAGCATTAATATAATTGTTATTGATATTATGAACTAGCAACTCTGGTTATTTAGTGTAATATTTGTACCTTTTTTATATACCTGTTTCCTCGTTGATCTCATCGGTAAAAATACTGTTGGAGTGTGTTCTATATTGATAAAGGACCTTTCAATTATTAAGCTCAAAATATTATACCTTGTGATGTATTTTTTATAAATAAAGTCATAAATAACATGTTGTTTGTATCATTTTCCAACCTTATAATTAATCAATTATTTGCTTCGAAACTGTTCGGCTGTGTTTATGTCGCAGCCATATAGTTGAATAAGCCATCCAACCCATGGCCTGAATGACTAGTGGTTAGACTGCACAGTTGTCGCGGTGGCTGAGCAACTGGGTACCGTGCAACGTGTCGTGGGTTCGATTCCCAAACGGAACAGCTCTTTGTGATCCACATATTGTTCCGGGTCTGGGTGTGATGTGTAGGTATTTGAAATTGTAGGTATTTTTGTAAACGCACTCACGGCGACACAGAAGAAAATTCTAGTGTGGGGCAACGTTTTTTAAAAACACAAAATAATGTATGGCTTTTTTTCTCAGTAACTGTAAGTTGAAGGATGAAGGGGTTGTCATGAAAACCGAGTTGCTAGCAGAATGGTGGTAAGGTTAGATTAGAACTAAGAACTGCATAGAGACCGCATCACCATCGCAAATGTAGAGCTACTAAAATTTTACTGCAATCAAAGGACTAGCTGATTGGTGAAGGGCTATTTTAACCAGGTGGCTGCGACGCATACCTACACAAAAGCAAAATCTTTATTGCAGCTTTTTGTGAGTAGTCCAGTGTTCAACGTACTTCATTATAATCTTATTTATTTATTACAACATAACATTAATACACAAAACATAAAAAATGTAACAGTCTCAGGTACACTGTACATAATACATACCTACTATATCTAAATCAAAGTTTCAACATAGCGCTCTGAGAGTCGCACAAATGCAGTCGTTGAGAGAACAAGAAAACAAGTCCAATCTCTCAGCCATTGTGTTGAGCGTACACAGCGCACAGTGCACGCTGCAATAGGTTGGTGAACGCATTGGGCACCACCAGCACCCGCGGCCGTCGCTGTCTGCTCGCATACTGGTTTGGCATATTCAACCAAATATCCCTCACGATTGCCTTAATTAGGCAATCATCAACACTTGGAGCAAGTAGGTAGCCATTGCTAGCTCCCTCCCTTAACTTATAGTATCCTACAATTTCAAGAACAAAATCTATTTTTACTACAGACATATTTGGTAATAATGACTTCAAAAAAGAAGAAGGAGCCTAATATAGCCTTATTTTTTACAATTTATTTTGATGCATATATTTTAAACAGCATAGGTATATTTTTGCGTCCAAGTGAGTTAGTTTCAATGTGATAGACAGAAATTTCTCTAAAGTCTAATCACAAATGTGAAAGATATTTCATGGAACTCCTCAAATAACAACAGAACGCGCTCCACGATTAAGTTTAAGTTATCTATATCCACTTATTTTTACACAGAGACTATGAAACTTAGAACAGTCACCAGCATAATTATCTAATGTAGCTAGGGGTAGCTTGATGTGTTGTGTGAGTTACGTTTGTATTGTTGTTACATCTGTTTGTAATAAAGGATAGGTTTATAGGAATTAAAAATGTACTTACGTAGGCAAAAACGTATACACCGTGCCTAAAATTTATGAAATAACCAATAAATCTAACTCAAAATGAAAGGAACGATGAAGTATCAATTTACTATGAAAGTGTACCTAAAATTAATGACATTTCGCAGTATCGTAGTTCTTGAAGTCAGTTTTATAATTTATATATTTTGTTGAAAATACGACTTATTCACGTAAATTAATGGAGAAAAGCCCCACTAGTAACGCAGCGTGCGTGTCGCGAAGCGCATGAATAAGCGCTCCTTTGTGACTTGAAACTAGTAGAGCTTTTCTCAATTTTTTTACAATCCTTCAACTATATTAACGAAATCCTAAAATGGATAGGGAGAGAATTCGATACTCTACAATTGGGTTTAGGAAAAACGGCTTTAAGGTCCAGGAAATAAAAACCATGCAAATATCATTATCATTTTGGTTTATTATCACGACGCGGGTACACTAAAACACCAATATGGAATGCTGTACATACAAATAAGTCTTTTTAAATACAATTATTTAATATTTCATACAAAACACTGAGCAATTTAAATATGATTGATGAATAAGGAAGGAACCAAAATTAAATGAAAGTATTCAAACAAAATATTCAAATTGTGAAATAAAATTATTAAAAAAAATTAACACGGTACATTACATCTAAGTCCGGACTGGCGGATACTTATCTTATGGGCGTAATAAAGTAATAGGAAACTGTTTTATAACCATACAATATGTCCTGTTCTCTTAGCTATCGTACCTATCATGGCCTATCTCTGTGTTACAACGGCAGACTAGAAGAAATGCCTATGGAGACCGCCATTTTATCATTGCGGGCAAAAGGATTTCTTATATCCTCTTTTATGTCATTTTTTTAATAGTTTTTATCAGTTTTTCTAGTAAATAGGACCTCATATTTCATACGATAAAAAATCTAATTATTACAACAATTTCCATCCACACGAATATAATTTTATTACGCCCATACAAAGTCAATTAAAAATAAAATCAACAACAAAGCTATATATTACACAGTAATGACTAATTAGTTTATTTTTATTATTGCGAAACAAACAATACATGATTATGCAATTTGTCACTTTTTTGATACATAGAATAATTCGCGTTATTGTTATGAGTTTTATTGTAGTTACAATAAAGGATATATTTATTTGGCAAACTTTTGAGTATGTATTAAGGAAAAAACATTATAGTAGTATATTGACGACGTAATACTGTCTTATTGTCTAAAGGAATTACTATGAATGGTCTTTTTATGTAATAGATCGGCAAACGAGCAGACGGATTACCTGATGGTTAGTAATCAGCGCCGCCCTTGGACACCCGCAACGGAGGAGTTACGAGTGCGTTGCCGACCTTTTAGGGATTAGGGATTTGGATATTTAGGGATTGAGGAGGGAAAAATTATGCAAAAACAATGAACCTTCATTTAATTAAAACACAATGTTGCATTTTTTATATCATAGGCCGGCAAACGAGCAAACGGATTACCTTGTGATAAGCAATTAGCGCCGCCTATGGATACTCATAATACCAAAGAAGTTACTATAGGTGGGTTGCCGACCTCGTGTGGGTTATTAAGGATTTAAGGATAGGGGATTTGAGGATTGAGGATGGTGTGGGAGAGGGGGTGGGGGAGAAGAAATGCGTCATAAAACGCTATTTGTACTTTCTGACTCGTACTAGCGTAATTCATAGTTATACTCGTATAAGCAGGTACGTAGTTATAAGGTATTTAAATACGTTTTATTACTCCAAAAAGTAAAAAAAACTCTTAAGAATATCTGCTAAGATATATTGACTATGATGAAAACAACGTCGAATTATTCCATGTCTCAAAGAAAACTATGTCTTATTTATACAGCTACATAGTTCATATTTCTACAAAACCATCACACGTTTTAACATAAAAAATTACAATTTATACCAAGCAGCCATCACAAGTTTAGAATAAAAATTAAAAATATATTATTAAAATATTTTTCATGTTTTTCAACTTTGGCAATTTATACATAATAATATCGAATCATAGTAAAATTAGTTCTATTGTTACAAGGAGAATAAATGCTATTTTTAAACACGTTAGGGTCAAAATTGGATGCACGAATGTCCAACTGTCTGGTGCATTGTCATTTACCAAAGACAGCTAGGCATATTGAAAGAGAAAATCTGTACAATTCGCGCCAAATATTTAAACTAAAAACTGTTTAACGTAACCAATTTGACACTAAGGTTACGCCTGTACATTTGGCGCGAAACAATACAAAATGGTGTCAAAATAGGCAAGAAATTAGTAAAAAAGTTTTTAATAAACTTATTTGTCCCAAAACGCATTATAAAACACATTATACACAATATTTATTAACAAAACCCCTGCAATTTCAATTCATATAAATGCTAACTAAAATTTGTTTATAAAAACATGATTTAATGACCACGAAATTCTCTATACAACGTCTAATGATGGAAGCCATTAAGGGATTTTAGACTCTAAACACAATACTTGGATTTAAGCAAAGTATTTATTATTGTTATTTACTATTTTTGGTTAATGGTGAAGAAATAGTGGGTTGTGATATAAGCATGTATATTTCTAAAGTTACTGTTACTAAATTGCTTTTCTATTAGTCTTTCCAAACATACTGAAGTAATTAAAACTATAATAAGCCACAACCCGAGAAAGAAGCTGAGACCAGCTCAAAAGCCCTCGCGCCAAAGTCGCAGTAAAGCAATAAAAAACATATTACAAAACATTTTGTTTATTTCATACAAATAAGGAACAAGCATAGTTTGACATGTTTACTTTTTCTTCACAACCCACTATAACTTGACCTATGTATCTACTATTGATGTAATAATAATAGCAAAGCCACTAACTGTCATACTCAGAGACATCAGAATCATTACTTAGTAACGATTTTGTTCCGAAAACAATTGCTAGGGAATGGCTTGAATAATCATTAAATACAATAGTATTAATGATACTATAAGTAAAATGGTGTAGATAGGTTACATAAACAACATTCGATTTTCAAAAACGGCACACCGACGCAAACATGAACAATTCGTTTGATTAGATGTCAAAGTGGGATGGTATGATTCAATAATCGCGAGTGAAAAAGAGACAAATATGAAAAAGTGTGGCTAGTTAGCCACACTTTAATATATATATAATATAGATGTTCTAAGTTACTTTGCGTTAGGTGCGTTTGAAATTGACCAATAATAATATCAGAGTGCCTAGTGGGTGTTGCTTTACATTGTTCTCAAGCGGGCACTAATGTCCTTTATGACGTCATTGCCTCGTCACGTTCTAGCGACGCTCTGATTGGCCAGGGCAAAAATAATCAACCAATGACAGGACTAAACGCGGAAACATTTTGGTAGCGTTAACATAAAGAAAACTTGTACTAAGCACTTTGAAAAAAACAATGTGATAAGCTCTTAAGTTAATCTGAGAACTTTTGCAACCCCAAAAATATTTTAAGTGCTTTGTGAACCATGTAAATAACTATATTGCAAAATTTATTTTTAGAGAGCCGTTCATGATCCTTTTTGGGCTTCGAGAGCATTCACAATATAACTACCTACTGTTTTTTTTAGTATGAAATATGTAAGCGCAATAAGGATACCGCGGCCTCGGGCTAGAGCAGGAGAAAGAACAAAGTTTTTAGTCAGTAAGAGTTTGACACGTCCTCTCGCCTTAATCTGAGCTAGAGAAGTAATTTGATGATTTTCCACTCACAAAACAAAAATGTATGGAATATGTTGCACTGTTCAGGTAAATCGTTACTAAATGAACGTAGGTATAAAAATTGTACAGAAGTAAAGAAAGGCAACGTTTTTCTTAATACCATTTCAAGGTCATGACATTGTAATGCTATTTTTAGGTGATTTGTGATAGACATTTATTGTATACTTACGAACATTTTAATTATATGGATTTTATAATAGGTGTCTTACACTTGCGTGTCGCGACGCGCCAGGACGCGTCGATTTCATATCTTTAACTAAAATAAATGTCTGAAATCGATATGCTACTACTAGCAAGTCAGGACACGGAAGCATATTTCTGACGAAAATTTGTTTTTAAACTGTTCCTTCATAACTTTAATTTATGTTACAGGTGCGATTTGAATTTCACGATATGCCAGAGTATATAGCCATATATATTTTGGCGCGTATTTTCTCGCTTCGAAGCAGATCTAACACGCCCAATTACACAGTTAAGAGTTTTGTTGGTACCTGATGAGTTGAGGATGGATGCGAGGTGGAATAGACCGCAAATTTAAGACTTCTGTATCATTTCACAAGGTTTGAGTCCTTAGAACATCTCTGGTGGCAAGGGCTATTATTTTGCCGTAGAACTGACTTTATTGAGACTGGCTTTCATGTGCTGTAAAAAAGAAAAATCGTGTGTTAATTTATTATTTTTTAGGTCTCCGATTAGTGGAGTTGGAAAATTGGCGACTGTAAGGGGTCTAGACGTTGTAAAAAAAGGAGCAATTGCTTTTGAGCTTTTTGTTTTCGTAATAAACTGTGCCAGTGCATACAGTTTGAGTTTCGCCGTGTGAGGTAAACCCAATATGGTAAGTAATCGGCGCCGCCTATGTACGCCCGCAACGACAAAGTTCCGAGTGCGTTGCCCTTTTGGGGTTTAGGGTTTGGAGATTTAAGGATTGGGGGAACGGAAGGATTGAGCCTCCGGTAACCTCACTCACACGGCGAAACACAAAGCTGTGGTTGTTTCACGGCGTTTTTCTTCGGGACTGTAGTATCACTCCGGTCGAGCTGACCCATTTGTGCCCAAGCATGGCTCTCTTACACTTAAACGCTCCTACCTAATCCTTTTGTTAGGCAGGTCTTTTGCCACCTGTAATTATAAAATGGTAGTATTAACTTACATGATTTCCAAACTGCTGTCGCTATTCTTGGTAGCCTGCTCCCCCTCGCTGGAGTTGGAGCCTCCAGACTCCGATCGCTGGCTACGACTTCTGCTCTTTTTCTTCTTCTCTTCCTGAGGTACTTCGGTTGAGGTCGCTTCTTCAGACTGCCGCTGCCAGTCGGGGATTGAGGGGGGATCCGTGCGGGTCTTGAGGGCGGGAAATTGATTCCTAGAGAGGAAATAATAAGGTTTTGTTTATTTTATTTATTTATTTGTACAACTGGAAGACTTGAACCAAGATAAACACATGGTAATCGGATAACAAATAAGTCCACACGCTTAAAACTAGATGTTTTTTTACAAGAAACCTTATTATTCGCGGACTAATAAGACCCGGCTAAAATATTTGATACAGGCTAGTCAGCAAAACTCCAGATTTTGCGTAGTAAGTAAATTGAACGGAGTGGTATTTAGTCAGAAAGAGTGATATTCTATCTCGCTTTACCCGGGGCGCGAGAAGTCATTGATGTTTTTCCCCCTCATAAAAAGTCAGGTGTTATAGTCTCGCCATATTTTGAGTTTGAGTAGCGAGAATATCCTCAAGGCACTTTTTACGTATGTACATAGTTAATTTCGTTAAAAATGCCAAAGTCAATGAATCGAATTTTCATAATAGTTAATCTAAATAGTTAATCTAAAATTCTAGATCGAAAATTACGTAGGAGCATATTGGATTTTGTACTAGCAGAATGGCTATCGATAACGAAACTAGGTGATTAGTGTTTATAGTTAGAAATCAGTTTATCGGTCAATTGCCTATTTTATCGTTTTAATTAAACAATTCTGACTTCCACTACCTACTATTAATCTATAGTAATATTATAAAGCTGTAGTTTGTTTGAACGCGCTAATCTCTGCAACTACTGGGTCGCATTGAACAATTGTTTTTGAGTCCATTTATCGAAGAAGGCTGTAGGCTATAAAACATGCTACGATCTGTATGAGCCGAACAGCGAGTTAAAACGGGCGAAAGTAGCCAGTAATATTATAAAGCTGTAGAGTTTTTTGAACGCGCTGATGTCCTAGTCCATTTATTGATGAATATTATAGGCTATAAAACATCACGCTACAGTCAAGTGGAGCCGAGCAGCAGGTGAAACCGCGTGAGAGTAGTTAGTCGATGAATAATAAATAATAATGTCAGTATGAAGGGACTTCTAAAACAAGACTCGGACGCAAGTAGCCAAAAACCCTAATTACAATTACCCCATACCCCCCATATTTGTGTATGAAAATGACATAAACAGTAGATAGAACTCTCAAGTTTGTTAAAACAAAAATATGTTACTAGGCTTTTAAAAAAAGAAATCTTGAGATGCAAGTGCTAACAAGATTTTTTGACACCAAATTTTAGGCATTACACACAAGAAATTCAGATAGACATGTTAATTAGGCATAAAAATAAATGCCTATAATACACGCATTTCTGTGTACACATCCTCATTTTTTTATATTACCTAGGAAATTTCGACACGGTGACTAAATATTTGAAAACTTATGGCGAGGTCAATAGACGGAGATGTTTGCTCGTTGTGGTAGAATAAAATATTACACAATGAGATAATAGTTATAAACAGTATCGTACTAGAGTAGTCAGGGTCCGGTTACAAAGCGGATGTAAGAGACGATATTAAGATAGGTAATGATAGAAATAAACTGCGTAGACTGCGTCTAAGCGAGAGCGGGGCAACACTAGTCCTACGCCATTTTTAATGCGCGCACTCCTTCACTGGGTCGGTTCACTAGGTCGGGACTGTCAAATGAAGAAAACTGTTTTGCACGCTTTGTGCTGTAAAGCTGATTTTTAATAAATATACGATTGTTCATTAAATATTATTGTGTTTTTTCGATACCCTTTTCTACTTAATTTGGGCCTCGGTCTCTGAAAACATTTGCCATTCAAGCTCTTTAGGCACAAGCTGTACAAGCTATGGATATAAATATGTGTAGACACTTCTCTTGAATTGTCGTTGTGATAATAATAAGAACAAGCCCTCCCACCTCATTCTTGCCTTAATTGGCTGGCTTGAGTGGAGATTCGCAAGAGTAGGAGTTGAAGGAGACTCGGGGGAAGGATGTATCTCAGTAAGGTGCTGGTAGGGGTCTTGACCGTACTTCGGGGATTGCTCTGATAGCCGTGGGATGCCTCTCCTTCCCCAAGCAGCTCAACGTATGTTGCCCCCGTGTCGCTACATGCTAGCGGCCGTTTCCGGGGGCCCATTAATTGAGTTTGCCAGTCACCCCCTGCCTGTTTATCCGTATGTATCAATATTGGTCAGGGGCAGGGGCCATAGTATTTCCATAGTTTTCATCCACTAGTGCATAGCAACCCATACCCATAACCCTATCAATTTTTACCACATTTTACAATAGTCCTGCATCAACCGGGGATTCTCCTTGGGTTCACTTTTATAGTGCATACAGGGATAATTGCCGGCTGATGTCCCATCACATTAGATTAAAATTGTTCAATGGGCCTCTGCGACTTGGCTTCGGCTCCTCGTATGCCTTCAAAAGGTCCGGGACCATGTGGTCCCGTGAAAGGATAGAACAAACAAAATAATGATTGTACATGTCATATTGTACTGGGATCGGTCTATCATCACAGACAGGACTATTGTAGCCAATAAGCCTGACATAATGGTGGTAGACCGACTACCTCGTCGCACGACGATAATCGATGTTGCCATTCCTCATGACGAGAACCTCGTGAAAGCTGAGAAAGATAAACAATTGAAATACCTTGACTTGACTCACGAGGTTGTTGACATGTGGAATGTGGACTCGGCTATCGTTGGGCCGATAGTTGTGTCGGCATACGGGTTAGTCCCCAAAAGCCTGGACAACCACCTTAAGAGGCTGACGTTAGGCGGATGGATCAAGAGCCTCATACAGAAGACAGCTTTAACAAGCTAATAATTTTATTAAATGACAAATAGGTATAGGTAAGTTTTTTCATAGTAAATAACAAATCAGAAATTGTGAGGTTGGTATAGGAAGATACTTTAGTTCCTTGAGATGGATCAAAAAAAAAGATACTACAGAGTTCTTTGCGCATTCTTCTTCAAAGGAATCTCTTAACAAGCTGAGTTTTACAGAAGGTCACATAAAAACCAAAGTTTCGTCTCAAACAATGCCATTGTAGTAGTTTTTAGTCTGTGTAAAACATATGACCTTGACATTGAACTTACCTATTCAGCATAATAGACTTGACAGAAGTTAATTCTGCCTTGATGCTGTCGACTTGCGATCGCATCGCACTCTGGTGGACGTTGGCATGCATTTCAGTGCGCAGCGCCATGAAGTTAGCGTTGAGTATATCGACACTCTTGCGCAGCTCATCAATACATTCTTCTGTCGTTTTACGCTTTGGTTGCTCCACGAAAAGGAGATGTCTTATGTAGTTCTGTGGGATGAAATTTATATTTATTTTATCTGTTATTTTATTTGTAACATTTGTAAATCTAAATTTCATAAAATTTGTTAATTTGATTTAATTTGAAAATTTGTTAAATCTACTATCCGAACTAATATTATAAATTCGAGAGTAACTCTGTCTGTTTGTCTTTTCTTCACGCCTAAGCTACTGAACCGATTTCTGTGAAATTTGGTAGAGACATAGTTTGGAACTCGAGAAAGGACATGGGATAGTAACAGTTTTTATACAAAAAATCTGCAGGAAGTTACTCTTCCCAGTGAACAAAGTCGCGGCCAAAAGCTAGTTATACATATAATAAAGGTGAAAAATTTGTTTGTTTGTTTAAATGCGCTAATCTCAGGAACGAATTAAAAAAAATATTTTTGTATTTATTAGACCATTTATTGAGGAAGGCTTTACGCTACGATCTGCAGGAACCGGGCAGCGGGTGAAACAGCGCGAGAATAGCTAGTTATTAACATTAGTCACTTGGTTTAACTGAATATAGTAGTTGAGCACTTATTTATAAAATTATTGAGAACCTAGTGAGAGAGCCATGTTTCGACATGAATGGGCAGGTTCAACCGGAGCGATATCGTGTCCTTACAAATAATGTTTATGGTTTGTTTTGCCGTGTGAGTGACTGCTGATGCGGAGACCCAATTTTCCTCCCATCTTCAATCCCCAAATCTAGGGGATTTGGGATTTCTTAGTCCAACGCACTTTTATTTATTTTTGTGTTACGAATGTCCATCATGGGCGGTGTCGATTGCTTAGGTACCATCAGGTGACCAGTCTGTTCGTTTGCCGACCAATCAAATAAGAGTAATGTTTTATTTTTATTGCTTCGGTCAATTAGGTACCTACTTAGCAACTAGTCAAATTCAATATATTGATAAGAACTGTTTAAATCGACAGTTTTTCTAGAGTCAAACATTACATATTTATTTTTTGAAAATTAATTTTTAGAAGACGAATATAAAGAGTATTATCGAAAAATAAATTTTCTTTCGTGTAAATTGAAAATCATTTGCTTACTTGATACTAAGTCAAGTGGGTAAAGTATTTTTTGTCACTGACGCTAGTTTTTTTGGCCGAATTTACCTATGTACCTATATTTTTTTGAAATCACCGATGCATTATACATACTTACAAGAAAAGTCTGATTCCTCTAAAAATATATATTCTAATATAATATATCTATCAAATGTACATTTTTGTACCTAAATAACTATCTAATTAGTTTTATTATATCAGAAGGACCATTTGATAAGCGTCATACGAAATTATGATAAATGATTATGTCCACAAGGTTGCAAGTTCAAAAACGTATCGTAAAATAATTATATTTTTTTATTTTATTTTTTATCTTTCATTTTATATCTTCTTTATAGGCCATAAAATAAATCTCTAGCAACATGATAGCAAAAGGTTTATGTCGATTTAAGATTAATGGACTAGAGGCAATATAATATTATGTATTATACATAATATACATAATGGTTTTTCAATTTCACATACCTATCTTTTTCTTATCTTGAAGCTGACAATAATGGGCAACAATCTGGCTGATGATGAGACGCAAAATAATTACTATACAGGGTGTAAGGGACAGCCCTCCACAAATTAACAGGGTGCATTCAGCTCCTTATTCTGAATCATATTCCAGTGAAAATTCTTTCAGGAAAATTTTCAATTTTTTTTTCGTTTTTTCAGTTCCTACACCTCTATTTCAATGTATAATTACATTCTATGTATGAAGAATAACATTAATGTAAATAACACAGCTAAAACAAAAAAATACGCAATGGTTGTGTGAATTCTCTAAAGAACTACGCATGAAATCAGCTGTTCAATTTCTACCTAGCGCGAGTCGTTTGAACTCACCGCACCGCGGTCACGGCGCAGCGGCTCGGCGCCCCACCGCGCCGATCGCCGCGCCGCCGTAGGTATACCTACGATCCCGTCCAACATACAGAATAGCTGCGTCCCTTTCTGTCGATTGAACCAGTGTTGCCAACTTTTAACTTTTGTTACCTCTTCTACCTTTCTCTCTTTCTACCTTTGTAAACGAAAAAGTTAGAACTATCGAAATTTATCTAAAACTTCAGAACTCCTTTGCATTCATAATCACATTGATGAGATTTTCATTAATCAATTAATGAAAATCTTGTCGCGCACATAAATTGAATAAGAAATAAATAAAGATTAGTCTAGTTTTATACTTACAGATTTTTACATGGCTTCACAATAGCCATGAATTGATAGTCGAGCCAGAAATTAAACACAATCTCCCTGGAATGGAAGCACAGCTTTCTATCACACTGCACTTTTATTATTCTAAATTAACTAAACAATGAAATTAGAATTAAATTGATTTAATCAATTCGTTTCTCTACAAAAAATAACAGAATGATAAATTACGACCATGCATAATTTTTTATTTTTGACCCCGAAATTTTGTACTTAATTTTCGTGTAATTGGCAACAACAGATTTATGTTTGTGTGTGTCTCATCACATGCAGTCGCCATTGTGCCTTGCTGCGATGTTATTGTTTGTGTACCGCGAGCGTGTGTCGGGACGGATCGCTCGCGCATTCGGCTTAAAAGTTTTGTTATAAGTAGTGTTGTTAAGTTTTATTAGTTATGTAGTGTGTGAAGTGTAGTGAAGTTTTGTTGTAGAAATTGTGCGAAATTACTACCTAGGTACGTTTAGCGCGCGTGATTATGGGGAGATGATAATGTGTTGTAGTAGTGTAGGTATCCTGACCGTCGGCATCCATCAGACTCCAGGATAATTACTGTTGACTATCAACGCTTGCTAGAAAACCAGCCCATTGTTCCCAGACAAAAAGGCGCCAGAAGACCAATACCTACGTGGATTTTGGAATTGGTTCGCTAACGTAACGAGACGCTACCACTTACCAGTGCTTTCCTATTTAAACGTAGTTTAGGTAGGTTTGGACCGCAACCGTGGCCAGCACGATCCCCAGACCTAACCCATTTGGACCCCTTTTTGTGGGGTTACGTAAAAGAAAAAGTGTTTGTGATTGCGTGTGCAAGTGAGTACGAAATGCGAGACCACATCACAAATGCTTTCCAGAGCGGGAAACCGGAGCGATTCTAAGGTACCTACGCATTTTTCTTTTTTTATCATTTATCAGTTACCATGTTATGATTGTTAGATTTTCTTTTGTTAGTAATGCGGCTATCTTTTAAATAATAATTTATTGTTATTAAAACGTGGCGCGAGCGCGATTATTAAATTGTCTTTTGTAAGTAATGCGGCTATCTTGTAAATAATAATTTATTGTTATTAAAACGTGGCGCGAGCGCGACCGTTTGTCCGAAAGGTAGGGTCGCGGCGCTGCGCCATAGTGTAAAGTAATAATACTAAAAGCGCTGCCGTTCGTTGCGTGCGTTTGCGGTGGTAGCAATACATTGCGTGTAAGGTAATGAAACAAATCGGTTTAATTGGATTCCCATAACGTTCCTGAAATAATTTCATGTACCGGTCAACTTAAGACGATATACTGAATCCACCCTATCAGTTTGCGGAAGGCTGTCCCTTACACCCTGTATACTGTAAAAAATCCTGTACCCATTCAAATAGCAACTGCACCGATCTCAGGTTATAACAAAACATCCGAGGGACGTAATTTTTGTTTATCTGATAATATGGCTAACGTGCTCACGTATTACCTGATGGTAAGCAACCAGCGCCGCTCATGGACACCCGCAACACCGGACTGGCTTCTTGTGTTGCCAGTATTTTGAGGAATAAGGTTTCGGAGATTTGGGAATAGGCGAGGAAGGATTGGGCCTTCAGTAACCCCACTCACACTCAATTACAATTAAATAAAATGCACTTACTTTATAAAACCAGTAGCATCCATACATGAAACCTCCATACACCATAATTGGAAGCACATTGTCTCTGAACCATGACCTCCTTGACTGATGTACGAACATGAGCTCTGACGTCAACGACGGAAGGTCCATCATTTCTGCACATTTTCCTAAAGCTTTTTGTATTTCAAGGTCAGTTAGACCTTTGCTACGTAGAAACCGCTCTTTGCTTTCTAAGGTGCATCTTTGTACACTTGGGTTCGTTAGGAATTGTACAGCTGTTGTTACCTGCAAAAAAAAACTAAATGAATAGACTGCACGGTTGGTACGAATTGGCTGCCGTGCAACGTGTCGCGAGTTTGATTCCCGCACGGAACAAATCTTTGTGTGATCCAAAAATTGTTGTTTCGGGTCTGGGTGTCATGTGTATGTGAAATTGTATGTTTTTGACGCACCCACAAAACAGGAGAAAATTCTAGTGTAGGTATGTAAACGTTTCAAAAAAAATGACGTAACACGATATTTAATTTTTTTCACATTGATGTTATACATTGTTGTTATTCCTTGTTCTAGTTTTTAAGATATATTTTTCGTAATCTATATATTATTACATATATTTTTTACAACAAATAAACATTATTATTACTACTTATATATTTTTTACCTGAAAGGGAACGGGGAAAAGTTCTTGTAGGAACAGTAACTTAAAAACTTAAAAAAACTTAAACGCTATTTTACACAAACAGCTATTTCGATAATAATACGATACATTTTAAATTGAGAAAACCGACTCCTAAATTTTCATTATTTTTATCTAAATACCTACTCTATATCTTACGTAGGTACGACTAAATTAAAAATTGTACATGTCCAGTATTTTATATTTTGATTAAAAAGGCATATTGTCATTATCATTTTCCGAATTTCAACTTTATTGTAAACTGATGCTTTTCCTTTACAATTCACATCCCAACGCACTAAGGTAACTCATCATCAGTATAAGTCAAACTATAGTCACAGAATAGGCAACAAACAATTTAAAAAGAAGACATGACAACAAATTATTATGCATTATAAAAAATCTTATGAGTTTTCTCTATTATGCATTATAAAAAATCTTATGAGTTTTCTCAGTAACTTTTTTTTATGTGATAGGACGGCAAACGAGCAGATGGATTACCTGATGGTAAGCCATCAGCGTCGCCCATGGACACCCGCAACAAAGAAGGAGTTACGAGTGCGTTGCCGACCTTTTAGGGATTGGGATTTTGGGGATTTAGGGATTAGGGTAGGGGAAGGATTGGGCCTCCGGTAACCTCACTCACACGGCGAAACACAACCTGTGGTTGTTTCACGCCGGTTTTCTGTGAGGCCGTGATATAACTCCGGTCGAGCCGACCCATTCGTGCCGAAGCATGGCTCTCCCACACTTAAGTGAATAGTATAGTTAGTGAATAATGATAGTTTTATCATAACATTTCGCTACCTACATAGAATTTAAATTAGTATTGTGTTTATTGATTGTTTAGTATACAATGTCAATTAGATTCATTTGTAACCTGTATTTGATTTAATAACGAAATAACAATATGAAGAATAGCATTCAACATAAAACTAAATATATTTATGTTGAGGTTTGTAATTAGCATTGTGATAATCGTAGTCATTTTATAATTTCTCTTTCAGTCTGTAAGTTTTCTTTAAAATGTAATAAATAAATAAAATAAAATACAATAAATAAATAACACAATTGAGTGTTTTTCACCAAATTAAAACCTTAATATTATGAAGCTGAAGAGTCTGTTTGTTTGAATGTGCTAGTCTCTGGAAGTACTGGCTCGAATTGGAGAATGTTTTTTGTGTAAGGTAATTAATCCATTTATTGATGAAGATTATAAGGCTAGAAGTTTACACTCTGATTAATAGGTGCCAAGAAGTAAGAAAGCCACATTTTGCTTGAACTGCATAAGTCAAATGTTCATAATAAGGTCAAACAAAACGTCAAATGAAACATTTAAAATACAGAATTTATTTTATAAATTGAAAACATAAATACATAGATAAGATCTGATATTAAATATTTTATATTTGCATAAAAATCTACAAACATTTAGATGAAGAGATATTTAGTATTATGTAAATCTTATTAGAATTTTTGGTATGAATTATGACGTAGTTCTGTGGCTAAGTGTGCCAGTGTTATGTTCTTAAAAGTGAAAGTGGTTTGATGGCAACACTTAACAAAAAATACACAATGAGTTTTATTTATCAAGTTTTTAATACAAAATTATTATTAATGTAAGGATATCCTGTTTGAAATATGTAGGTATATAACTAATACAAACAAATTTTTTACTGCATTTTTTTTCTAGGTCTGCTATGTATATTGCTAGTTTTACCATTTTTTTTTATTAAGGAGGCTAATAGCTTTTGAGGATAAGTACTATGAGTTGTGGGAATTTAAAACACCTTAACACTACACTACACTTACTAATTTAAACCACCTTGGTGGCTAGCACCCATGAAGGTGCAACATGACCTTTATTGCAACATCAATAAGGTTGAAGACCAAATATTACCTTTATGTCAAAGCCACATTAGACACATAATTTTGTTGATTGATGATTAATTTGAAATACTGTGTGACATAAATGTTATGGCAGTAACTATTCTGAGTGGCGAATAAGGGAACTCCAAATCTTAAATTAAAATTGGTTTAGAAAGTCTTAACACATTTAAAAATATAATATACCAATTTATAGTATAGTTGGAGTGAATGATTTTGATTTTATTAAAGTATTGTTTTCTTACACAATGAAATAAAAATGTATCAGATATATTTTCCATTTTAAACTGGTTTATAAATTTTTAATTATCATACCCTGCCATCATCATTATTAATCATTAAAGTACATTATACACAAGAGTCTTAAATGAAGTATACTTTGCTCAAATATATTTAAGCAACAAGTACATAAATATCTGGTTCACATTACCTAGTTGAATAAGACAAAAATTTTACATCATAACAATTGAGTCAGAGAATATGTCACACACATTAAAAATTTGATTTCTATTGTTTGTTCACATTGTTCATTGTTATAAGTTCTCACTAGATTTCATTCTACTCAAGTGTCCATCTTTTTGCTGTTTTAAATTGATTTAATCATTGTTTTAAGTAAAGTGCACTGTGTTAACTAGATCATAGAGATAATTTTCGACCCAGAACATTCACTACAATCATTATTGCCAAAACATGACCTATAAATTAATAATATTATTATTTCATTATGAGATAAGATGATTCTTAGTAGAATCATGTATGAATGGACAGCGCGAAAATAGCCCTATGCTGTTTATGATATGAATTGAATATATTAAAAAGAGAACGTAATAAAAAAAAAACAAAGAACTTTACAGAGGTATCAAACAGTTCGAAGGTCGATCCACGATCGGACGTAATCTACAAAGTCATGTTACCAATACTATTATACTAAAGAAACATGAATATTAATGACAGGCACATGCAATGCCTGTCAAACCAGGTATTTAATACCTAGTGTTAATGTAAAATTAATCAAATAATTACCAAATTTTCTCGAATCTCCGCACCCGCACTCGCCACCGCCTCCGAAGCCATTTTCACTTCAAATAAGCGATACAAAAGAAATATCTAAATTACCAATAATGACTGAAGTGTATTTTATAGTATGTACAGTATAAAATTAAGAAAACACCAATTAAACACCTAATACCGAGGACGATTAAAATTAATCAATTTTCTTTGACAACGACAAATGACATTTGGTTTGTTCTTTTTTTTAGCAGGAGCATTGTCAATACAGATAAGAAAATCAGAACTTCTTATTTTACCACAATATTTAAGTTACTGTTGTGTGTTACATTTAATGATAAACTAAGCATCTTTCAAATTAAATTATTGTGAAGTCTTATAACAACGAGCATAAAATAAAAATTGAAAAATTAATAAATGAAACTTTTTTAAATGAATGTTATACGGAACGTTAAAAGTCAGACATCAGTAGTTGTCATGTCATGAGTCAAATCTCTTGTCATTGTCAGTGAAATTCTTACTGACATTGATTTATGATTATCATTTCAAACAGTACATTTTTGTTTAGAAAATATATTTGGAGTTTCTAATGCATTTATTGTGAAAAATGAGTGATTTTGCTAATGCGACGGAGGCTGCATCGCTAGCTGTCCAATTTGATCAGGCTGGACAGACGGATAAAGCTGTGGAATGCTATCGAACGGCAGCGAGACTATTAGATAGGATTCGAGATCGTTTCCCTCCAGAAAAGCAAGAAGATGTGAGGAATAAGGTGCAGGAGTATCTAGAACGGGCCACACTATTGATAGAACAACAAGGTACCAAATATATAACAGTTTTTCCAAGCCTGATGTACTAAACAGAGTAGCATGTTTTTTATTTAGTTTGGTCTATGACTCATATGGTCCTAACTGTGCATTGTACACAGCGGGCTTTCAATTTAATCTGCAGGTGATATCATCGTACTTTTTTGTACAATGCTGGATTGAATACTATGTTTGTGCTTGTAATGCCTACATTGCCATTTGAAGAAACTTTTCTTTAGACTTTATGTTGCATTGTTGTTAGGATATTAAATAAAGATGTAGAGAAATGTTACAAAATGTAATGACGTCACACATACTATGTGTTTCTAATTTCTGCAAGAAAATTGCAGTTCAAAACTTTTTATTTTAAAATAAAACCTCATTTTATTATGATTTTATTTTGTTTACTAAGTAAAAAAAAAGCAAAGTATACCTATACCTATTTTTAATTTATTATGGTCTTGTTAACAGATAGAGCACAGCAAGCAGAATGTGAGCGAGCCATGCAACAATGTTACTTTCTCATGCAACAAGCTCTAGATGCAGATGAAGCTAATCTCAAAGATAATGCATTAAAATTATACACACAAGCTGTGGAATTAGCAGTTTCTGTAGTAAGTATCATATACAAGTATAATAGTCTTTCTATAATAGATAAATGATTGGATCAATTTTATGTTATATTCCTTACAAAATAAATATAAAAGGACTTGGTTATTTTCAAAAATAATTTGTGCATTTTCCACAAAACTTGAGGTATTACAAATATCTAGTGTCTTCTTTGAAGTATCCAAGGTGTTTGACTTACTATGTCACTGCTAATTATATTGAAATTAACTCATGTTTTTAAGTCTAACATAATTTTTGCTATTAAAGTTGTATATGTGGGTAATTAATTCCATTTAACATAACAAATGTAAGTAACAGATGGTTAAAATAAGAATACCAAGCAGGTGTTCCACAAGGTACTGTTATGGGACCAATTTATATTTGTTATTGTATTGTAAATTGTAATAATATTTGCAGAAATCAAGTGATCCTGAAATACAGACAAAGATAAAAAACTTAGCAGGACAAGCACTGGATAGGGCTGAGGAGTTGAAAGGTATAAAGCGGATTGGATCTCTTTCTATTAATGAACCAAGAAAGCCAGGTAAATTGTTCACATTTATTTTGCATGACTGACAATTTTTGTTTGTTATATTGTAGCAATTCTTTTTAAATTTTAATGAGATTCTTTTTTTTATCAGTTGTGTCCCCTGTCAGACCTGTACTACAAAGGGACCAAAGCATACATTTAAAAGTAAGTGGAAAGCAAGTAACATATTCCGAAGAAGAAAAAGAGGTTTTACGTACAACTTCGAATATAAATAACAACTGTTTCCTTCCGTTTATGGATGTGGATTTGTCAGAGAGGTTTCAGTATGCTATACCGTTTGAGGATAGAGCCAGCGAATTGAAGTTGTCTTCTAAGCAGGAGAGAGAATTTGATACCTGGGTGAGACCTCATGAAATATGTGCTGACCCTAAGATGGTTGTTGGAGATCATGTTGACTGTTTTAGTATTAAGCAAACTGTAAGTATAATTGATGATTTTATTAATTAATTGAACATTATTAATTGTTGTGTTGACTTTAGATAATAGTATAAGTGATTAGTAATAATTATTTAGTTCTTTAATAGAGTCTAATTACTGTTGGTTTTATATGCTTATCATTACACTCGAAATTATCATATATATGTCTATACAAATAGATACAATACTAACAGTTTCTTTAATAAGTCTATGTGGTATATTGAACTGTTTATCAACTTGCTCTATATTGCTATAATTACCAAAAAGCGATCAAATAGCTCATTCCGCTGCTATGATATGGCGAAAAGCAAAAAAAGCCTCATCTAAGCTGTTCCACTGAATTTTTATCTCAATCGCCTCAAATCGATAAAATTATTCTGTTTCTTAGTATGTGTTAATTTAATAGTTAAATGACTCCATTTTCAGATTGTATCAGACTGCTCATTTGTTGCCTCTTTAGCAGTGAGTGCGTTGTACGAAAAGAGGTTTAACAAGAAGATCATAACGTCCATTATTTACCCTAAGAATAAGAGCAAGTCGCCCATCTATAATCCTTTTGGAAAATACATGGTCAAGTTGCATTTGAATGGTGTTCGGAGAAAGGTGAGATTTTATGTCTATTTATTTGAAATCTTTGATAACTATAAGGCAAAGTAAAGAAAGTAGCCTATTCATTCTGCAGCCTCTGGCTGCACTATAAAAAATATACCATTAAATATGCCATTTGTGACAAGACAACGACGAAGACAAGAAACTATTAAGCTAGTCTTTGACTATAAGAAGTCATTTGATTTTCCCCTCACCAAAAAAAGGTTATCCATTCTTCACTGGACACTGTATAAAAATATTTTTATATTTTTTCAGGTGATTATAGATGACAGGTTGCCGTACAGTAGACACGGGCGGCTTTTGTGTTCGTATTCTAGCAATAAGAACGAATTCTGGGTCTCTTTGTTGGAGAAAGCGTATATGAAAGTAATGGGCGGATATGACTTTCCTGGCTCGAACAGTGTAAGTTAATTATTATTATTTCTATGTGGCAATATAATATATTTTTCTTTCTGTTGTTTGAGTTGGATTTAAAATATGAAGCAAACGTGTTCTGTCAGATATTGAATAGTGTTTTAATGGAGAGATATGCTAGCTCACCGCTGCGTAGTGGTTCCTATAGTCAGACTTTTAATTCGATTCCTGATTTGACATTGACCACTGTCATTTTGTGAAATAATGATACCACATATAACAATGTAGTGATGAACACAAAAATCGATAAACAATCAGTGAATCAGTTTCAGGAAGGCATTCAAAAAATTACGGCTACCGAATGGTCTAAATGTGTATCCCATGTTTTCAAAGAAGAGGAAAAAATGAGTAAGCTAGATATGTTAATTAACAATAAATATCAAAAACACAATTCATAATAAATGTTGCATAGAGTAACGGCGATAGCGATGACGGCGACAATTTATAAAATGTCTGTTTTATTTGTCACGTTCCTTCATGATCACATTTTTTTTATTAATTTCACACACAATTACAAAAGAAAAGTCTCAGATCGTTAATTAATTGTCAAAACTAAATTATCGGTTCAGAAATATTTTATTTCCTGTTAAACTTAGTTTACGAGAGTAAATTTATAAACCAGAGGAATCGAGTCAGAAATATTCGATTTCCATATCGAATAATTTCGCAACGTCACTATTTATTACGTGTCATAACGTTGCAACATAACGTCATAACGTTGCAACGAGTATAGAACAAAAATGAGAGTAGCGCTAAATTAAAATCTTCTTTTTTCAATCAATAAGATACAATGTCGGTAGGTATTGTTGTGCAGACGGATAACCTGATCAACACCAAAGGAGTAACGATTGAGTTACCGGCCTCTTGGGTATAACGGTTTCGGATATTAATAAATCGGGAAGGGATGGGGGAGGGCACAGGGATTGGGCCTCCGGTGACCTTACTCACACGTCAAAACACAACCGGTTTAATTGATTTATGACCTAGAAAACTATTAACACAATACAATTTACAGAACATAGATCTTCATGCCTTGACGGGGTGGATACCAGAGCGTGCTGCTATAAGGAATGGAGAGGCTGATTTCAACGCAGATGCCTTATATGAGAAGATTAGGACGCGGCTGGAGAAAGGGGATGTTCTAGTAACGGTCGCCACGGGACCTCTGTCTGATGCTGAAGCGGAGAGAACTGGACTCGTGGCTACACACGCGTATGCTGTACTGGATGTTAGGTTAGCTAATGTAAGTCTCATTTTATAGTTATGTTTTTATCGTCGTTGTAATTATAGGCGAATGTTTAACGCCATCTCATAGAAAATATCTACATTATCTATGGAAAAACACATATGGCTGATCTATCACCAAGTATATATATTCATGTACGATCTTATTTTACTAACTACGGCCAAACTATTTATGAGATAGCGACACTTTATTATAGTGTGAGAGTCATGCTTCGGCTTAAATGAACAGGCTCTACTGGTGTGATACCACGTTTTCACCGAAAACCGGCGTTATCAGACGCCTTTTGATCCCCCTTCCCCATCTCCAACCTGAAAATCCTCAATCCTCAAATCCTTGACCATCAATAAACCCGACAATGAATTCGTTACTTCTTATAAGCGTTGCCTTCCTAAGTTCCTATTATAGTTTACTCGATCGACTCTCTATTGCATAAAAAAACTACCAAGTGCTATAAAAAAATAATAATAATAAATTGGTATTTCTTCCGTAGGGCGTAAAACTCCTGAAATTAAAGAACCCATGGTCCCATCTTCGTTGGCGGGGCAATTATTCGGAATTAGATCTTGCGCACTGGACGCCATCTCTCCGTGGGCTCTTGAACTACGACCCCGATAGTGCGGCCCAGTACGATAATGGCGTCTTTTGGATCGATTACGCCAGTATATTAAATTTCTTCGATGTTTTCTACCTCAATTGGAATCCGGAAATGTTCCAGTACACTTATTGTATACATCAGTAAGTTTTAAACTTTTATTTTATTTCATTCAAATTCTTTATTTGCAGACTATGCGTGAGTTGACAAGATGTTCCTAAAATAAAATTATAAATCGTCATAATCAGTTACGAAGATATTTTTTTAATTCTCTTTTCTCATGTATATTAATATATCTGCATTGGTAAAATATTGATTGTTGGACGAAAAAACAGTATAGTAGTCATGTCGGTGATTTTTTTAGTCTGCATTTTTATATTATACTAGCTATTCACGCGCGTTTTCACCCTCTGCTCGGCTCCATTTGGTCATAGCGTGATGTTTTTTCTAGATAGCAGTTTAGGCTATAGCACTCAGGAACATTGTAGCATTTGTAGCTATCTATCAGTGAAAGAATTTTGGCAATCCGACCAGCGGTTCCAAAGATTACCCCCTACATACAAACTCACAAATTTTACCTCTTTATATTATTGGTCTCGAGTTGTGTTATTCTGACAAAAAATGTATATTTGCCTCATTTTTTATAATAATAAATAACAACAATGTTTTCATGCATTTCAAAAAAGCCTTTATTTACAGAAAATGGGACGCCGGTACAGGTCCAGCAAAAGACGCATATAATATTGGCGAGAATCCACAATTCTCTCTACACGTGCAAGGCAAAGGCGCCGTTTGGTTACTCCTCACAAGACATATTACACAGATTGACGATTTCAGAGACAATAAGGAGTATATTACGTTGCTAGTCTACAAGAACGGAAGGAGGGTTTATTATCCTTGTAAGTAAATTTTTTTCATTGAATTTTAGTCTTTAAAACATGTTTAGCTATTGGTTGCTGTGCTCAGTGTCGCGAGCTCGTTTCTCTCATGGTGATTCACAAATAGTTGTTCAGAGTCTGGGTGTACCGTGTTTGTGATATTGTATGTATGAAAGGAAAAACTCATTAAATATCATTTTTATATAGTATATACTTTATTTTGTATGGACTGGTTGTCCATGATTTAGGGGGCGTCCATAAATTACGTGAGGTGTTTTTTTAAATTTTCTGTCCCTCCCTCCCCCCTGGTGAGATGTCGTGAGATTTTATTCAATCCCCTCCCCATCATCGAATCTCATGTGAGATTTTTCAAAATGTGAGTTTCTTAGGTTAACGCGTTGGATTGTTATTGTAAAAAGAAAAAAAAAATTGCATCGTCTTTTTATTCGTAAATGATCTTAATCGTACTACGATAACGCTTAAGATTAAATTTTAAGCATGTACAATCTGGATTAAATTGACCAAAATAGTACATTTTTTTTTTGTTTCAATCAGAAAAAGAATTGCTTTATATTTGCCTCCCCTCTCCAACGTAAGATTAGATGAGATTTGACTCGACCCCTTCCGCCCCTAAAACACCTCACATATGTGGACGCCCCCTTTGAGGATTCGAAGGTCGTATCGGTTCGGAAACACCGCCGCCGATAGTTCTTCCCTAGGCGAATGAGATTTTTTAAGGGGAAAAATCATCCAATTACATTTGGGGTGGGGCGAGAATTATGACTAAAAACCCAACTTGGCCGAAAGTTTCTGGGTTAAGGTAGTGGTAATTTACAAAAATATCAGAAAAGTGAATGAAATCAACATAACATCAAACATATACAACCTTTAATACCATTACAACGAAGAAAAGAGTACCATTATCTCCTTTTTCTGTTCAAAATGCCCATTTTACTCTACTCCACTGTTTTCAGACGATCCTGAACCTTATAAGGACGGGATAAGGATCAACAGTCCCCATTACCTCTGCGAACTGATTATCGGCGAAGGCAGTGCGGACAAATATACACTGGTAGTGTCTCAGTACGAGAAGAGTAAAACTATATTCTACACTCTACGGGCGTACGCAACCTGTCCATTTTCTCTGAGCAAGCTGGAGCCTTATCCATATAAGAAGACTGTAAGTGATTGTTTTATTGTTATGTAATAATGATCTGTCTCTAATGAAGATAAGGGTCATTATTGAATGGGCTGGGGTCCCATATTGGGTTTAGTGCTGTTTTGGTTTCCTAAATTGCCTTTAAGGTCGACAATAAGTAGTTTTGACTTTTCAACACAATGAATGATTAAATTAAAACACAATCATAATTTTATCAATGGATTTGTGATACATACCTACCTACTTGATATAAGATATTTACTCAGAAATAACTAATGCTGCTATTGCAATCAAAATTCATTTTGTTTGGAATATTTTGCACCATTTTAACATTTCAATAAACGTATTGTTGTAACTGCCGTATTGTGTATTAGAAATGTGGATACCAAAATTCTTCATTAGAGTTTATTTTAATGTAATAATTATTTTCTTTTTACCATTTCTTCACAGCTCAAAGGCGAATGGACAGCGCGCACAGCCGGAGGGTGTGAGAATCACCGCGCGACGTACCCAAATAACCCGAAATTCATCATCACAGTTCCAGACTCCAGGACTCCTTGTCACATAGTTATTGAGCTTAAAGGACCAAAGCAGTACCAAATGGGAGTAGACGCAAGGGTCGAGTCTTTAGACGACCCTACGGTCACGGCGCCATTCTTAAAGGAATCTTCTGGACCTTATAGGTGAGGTCTTAAGGTTTATTTTTGTTTAAGTATATGTCATCAGCCTATAAGTAAAAGTTTTGAGCATAGCATGCTTGCTCATGGCGGATGGACGATTTCAAACTTATAAATTTTAAGTCCAGCTTTCATCATGATGTATTCCTACATTTAACTCGGAAGCCACATTGGTACTTGCCAGGTTTCTAACCCGTATGAGGTAATATTAACCTGCCACCATGACATTTTTTTTAAACGTTGCCCCCACACTAAGACTTTCTCGTGTGTCGAGGTTGGGGTTTACAAACATACAGTTTCACCTGCAAATGACACCCAGACCCGGAACAATAATTTGTGAATCACACAAAGTTGTTCCGTGGAATCGAACCCGCGCCACGTAGCACGGCAGCCAGTTGCCCAACCACCGCGCCAACCGTGCAGTCAACATTGTTTAAGTACTTTAGCTTAAAACATTCAAATTAGAGTTTTTTTTAAACATTATTTCTATCTGCAGGGCTGGTTTCGTGGTCCTAGAGCTACGCAGTTTACCGGCTGGCCGGTACATCCTAACTCCATCGACATTCTACCCAGGACAAGAAGGCCCATTCTTCCTAGAACTAAGGTCAACTTGTCCAATCACATGCGAGGGGCGCAACTAGCGAGCGAGCAGGATGAAAGAAGATGAATACAGGTTTTAAAACGGCTTTTATATCGATTACTTTGTGAATTGGATTGTTAGTTAGACGTTGATATTTTTAACAAATGAATTTTAAATTTCGATTTCAATCTATTAATGTTGATCGTCGATTGGAGGCGGATATCGATTTGAATCTATTAAAGCTGGACGTCGATTGAAGTTAAGAATCGACTATAATCGACTAGAGTAGAACATCGATTTGAATCGATTAAAGTTAATCGACGTCAATTGTATTTGAAAATCAATTTCAACGAGATTTAAATCGATATTTAGTCGATGACAATTAAACATTTTGATCGAGGCTTATTGACTAAAATCAAATATCAATTAAAAAAATAAATCAATAGGTATCAGTGGCAATCGAACCGATGAATATCAATTGAAATCAAAAAGTCGAAGTCTGCGGGCGGACAGACAGGACTCTCGAACACGTCGTGCCCACCCACACGAGCGGTACTTGCCATTCACGCACACACACGGTCGCATATTCTAATTTTATTTATACATATAACTCTAAAGGACTTTGGAATAGAGAATTTGAAAAATCAATTCTAGTCTTTGTTTTCAAAAGAAGGACCGATAAAAAGCTATCGATATTTAGGCCGTTTATCTAATTAATATTGTAAATAAACTTATTTATAATGATAATGAATTTTAATGGAGTGTTCATCACAATCATTATAATACCACATTTAGATATAGTGACTAAAATGCTTTAAAAAAATGTTGCTTAATGTATTGCAGGTTTATCAATGTTTTAAACATAAGAGACGAAAGAATTTGGACTATGAGTTAATGCTAATAAGGTCTGTTTCACAATGTCTTATCAAACGATTTCCAATATTTGGCAGCATAGTTTTGTTTTTGAGATATGACGGTGAACAAGCTGACTGTTTCCCTGATGTTAAGCAAATCGATGCTGCCCATGGACACCTGCACTTAAAGAAAAGTTGTAAGTGTGCTACCGGCTTTTTGGGAGTTGCCATTTTGAGAATTGGGGGATTTAGGGATTGAGGATTAGGTCTGGAAGATTCGCCCTCCGGTGACAACAATCACACGGCGAAACACAATACCTCGACCAGAGTGATACCACGGCCTCATGACTACAGCCGTGAAACAAAGCTTGCGTTTCTTGTGTAAATGAGCGAGGCAGATTGCTTACCATCAGGGCTATACACTTTGCCGACCAATCCCTTAATAAAATGTCTCATCAACTAATTGTTGTCCCAGGTTTTGACCTGGGACAACAATTAGTTGATGAGGACTACTCTCTGGATTAGACGGTGTGAAAATGGCTTTGTATTTGTGTATTATTTTTACTTATTTTTATGTTTTATTTTTACTTTTTGATGCCTTTTATTGTATTGGTAAGGGCTTCTTTATATAGATATAGTTTTTGACAATAATTAATTGGTGTATTAGATCTGTGCCTTTAAGAATAACGTACATATTATTATTACGATAAATCATCACGAGATATTGAAAAAATACACCTATAAGGAAATCCTCATCACGAGATCTCATCATCAGTCACGTCGTTCGGCATTGAGTAGGACGCCACTGTGCAAATTCGCTCCGTAATTATTTCATAAATAAAGTAGTTTAAAGTTATCAACCAGTTCATATCTTATCACATTTAATAAGTTTAATTTGTTAATAAAACAGTGTTAAAAACCATATCTTAATAAATAAAGTATTGCCGAAGATATAGCAAAATCAATCTATCAAAATCATAATTTATCGCCGTTGAAACAACAACCCGTGACTCATTCGCCGCTGCCCGCTGCCCATCGGTCGTGCTCGCCACTCCGCCTCCCGCGCCTCACCCGTGTCACCTGTGTCGCCTGCGCTGTCGTCGATTGTTTACTTTCTGGTCGCACGGACTTTTAGATTTCAAGATGACTGCGAATTGTGATGCGTGCGGTAAGAAAGTCTCAAATAAATATTTTATGAGTTGCGTCAAATGTAAAGGAGCATATGACTTGGAGTGTGTTAATATGACAAAATTATCCTGGGAAAAATTCTCCATTAAGTTTAAACAATCTTGGCTCTGCCCTAACTGCGTGTGCTCTCAGCCCAAGATAGATAACACTAGAACTCCTGCACGGAACCCTACTTTAAATATTGATGAATCTTCTTGTGAAAATGTAAATATGACGAGAGGAACGCAGGGGACATCTATGCTAGATTCTGAAACATCAGTTGCTGAGTTGCTTAGCGAAATTAGGGAGCTGAGACAAGAAATAAGGGATTTGAAGCAAAACAGTAATGACGTATATTTGCTGAGGCAAGATGTGCAGGACCTTAAAACTGAGCTTGCTAATCTCTCCCCGGATTTCTCACAATATTTTGCTAAGTTCAATAGCACACTTGAAGCCAAGGATCAGGAAATAAAAAGTCTGAAGCTAAAACTATCTCAATTCCAAACCACCCTCAGCGTCTTGGAACAATCTTCGTTGAGAAATGAGATTGAAGTATGTGGTGTTCCTGAGCAAAGCTTCGAAAACCTGACACACATCCTACTAACGCTGTCTCAGAAACTGAATGTAGACTTACAAGACACCGATATCGACGTTATTTCGAGAGCTGGACCAAGACCTAAAATCGGAAATGACTTGACTGGGTCCCGTCCTATTGTGGTAAAATTAATTAGGAAGGCAAAGCGAGACGAGTTACTGAAAGCTGCAAGATCCAGGAAAAACCTAACTACGGAAAACATCGTGAACACTACTCCTTCGAACATCTATCTGAATGAAAGAGTTACTAAAGAAAAAAGGCTGTTATTTCGAGAAGCCAGAGCAAGAACTCGTACGTATGGATTTCGTTTCTGTTGGTTGCGTGATGGAAATATATATATCAGGAAGAATGAGAGCGGACCCAGTGGTCAATTTCCTGCGATACGTATTCAATCTATTGAGGATCTGGATAAACTCATTGGTTCCAGTGCGTCGATGGTTAATTCAGATAACTCTGGCTAATTTTGCTACTGTTAATATTATTATTAAGTTCTCGGACTTTTTCTGTATTGCTCTTGATTACCAATATTTTGCAAATGGTTCACTACTTTTTGTATTATTACACAATACCATATACACTGTTAATAATTCTTCACTACACACACACAATATAAAACTCACACAAAAGTACATATATAGCATTTACCTAATTTTATCTAACCTACACACTCTCTCGCTAATTCTTGTACGCTATAGAATGACATACAATAGCCATTGCCCTACCTTCCAAACAACTATGACTGTTAAAAAACCACCATGACTACTCAAGAACTCATGCAATGTATAGATAATACGCTACATATAAAATGTCATTCTATAAATTTAGCAGAAGAGTGCCACGTCATCATACAAAACCATACATTTAAAACTTTAACACTAAACATTCGTAGTTTAAATCGCAATTTTGACTCCTTCTTACTAGTTTTAAACAGGCTTAATGTAGATTTTGACGCAATAATACTAACCGAGTGCTGGCTAGAATGTTCTCCAACACTCCCACAAATCAAGGGCTATAATTCTTTCCACACAACTAATCACGTAAACAAAGCCGGCGGGGTTGTGGTCTATGTTTCGAATATTTGGTCACCTATCGTACATCAACCTTTGATTGACGATGCTGACTGCATTGTACTGAGCATTCCAGAGATCATTACTATCATCGGTGTTTACAGATCTCCATCTTTTAAGAACACTGTCAATTTTATAAACTCTTTACATAGAATCATACCCGAACTCAAACTAAAACCTTGTTCCATTTTCACTGGCGATATAAATATTAACATTAATAATGTGACCTCTGATGATGTTTCAACTTATCTCTGTACTCTTGCTGAACTTGGTCTAAAACCGGCTGTAAACATCCCAACGAGAGAGGGTTCTTGCATCGATCACGTCTTCTATACGGGTAAAGTAGACGTGGAAACTATAATTTGTGCTTCAACCATAACTGATCATAATTTAATTATAACTGGCATAACTGGATCAATCGTAAAACCTGTCCCTCGACCTAGGTATAGACTACGTGTTGATTACAACTCTATTTCAGATGAACTAAATAATATTGATTGGTCATCATTAAATAGTATTTCCAGTGTTAATGAACAAGTTGAAATTTTTATTCGTATTGTGAAGGATATACTAGATAAAAACTCCCAACGTGTGCGTATGTCTAGATCAAGGATCATATTAAAGCCCTGGATGACACTAGGCTTACTAAAATGTTCCCGCGTAAAAGATAAGCTCCACCAGGAAGCAAAAAAATATCCCTTAAATGATATAAAAGCTATAGTTTATGCTAGATATCGGAATTTTTATACTACGTTAATACGGAAAGTAAGGAGTCAATATGAATCTAACCTACTAGAAAAACACAAAGACAGTCCTCGTGGACTTTGGAATGCCATCAATGACATTACACACCGGAAAGCCACCACAAAGTCCCAAAACCTTGAACTTTTAAACATCAGGAGCTCTCCCAAGGAGTCAGTTAACTTATGTAATGACTTTTTTGCCTCGGTAGGTGAATCGTTTGCTAATCAAATATTATTAAAATTAGATACCACACAATCTGAACTCGCTCATAAAATAGATACTTGTAACTCTCCATCCTCTTCTTTCTTTTTTGAACCTACTGACAGTGACGAGATTAACAGTATCATTATCTGTTTAAAATCTAATACTGCACCGGGTCTCGATGGCTTATCAGTACAGTGCATTAAAGCTATTAAGGATCATATTACTAATCCACTTGCTGCTATTATTAATAATAGTTTAGCTACTGGAACAATCCCAGATGCTTGGAAATCTGCGGCAGTTGTCCCGATACATAAGGGTGGAGTAACTGATAGTCCCAATAACTTTAGACCAATTTCATTATTGCCAGTTTTCTCAAAAATATTGGAAAGAGTAGTCAATAAACGTCTAGTGAAATATATTGAATCCAATAATATTTTATCACCTAATCAATTTGGATTCAGGTCAAAACGCTCAACCGAGGACGCAGTTAAGTTACTCACCAATAATATAGTGCACAATTTAGACAATGGCAGGGCTTGCATCGGTGTTTTCCTGGATCTAGCAAAGGCCTTTGACACCGTGTCAATTCCAATCCTACTTAGACGACTGGAAAGCATCGGTGTCAGAGGTATTGCTCTTGATTGGTTCCAAAGCTATCTCACTGGAAGACAACAATGTTTAAAAATAGATACATGTGTTAGTTCCTCCAGGGGACTGTCATTTGGTGTTCCACAGGGCAGTGTTCTTGGTCCTACATTGTTTTTAGTTTATTTGAATCATCTTGCCTCGTTATCATTGAAAAATGCTGAAATTATATGCTATGCCGACGATACCGCAATAATTTTCCATGAAGCAAATTGGAGTGAATGTTTTAGGAGTGCGGAACATGGAATGACTAAAGTATTTGGGTGGCTTTCTGATAACTTACTAACGTTAAACACTGCGAAAACGAAATACGTATGTTTTCAT